GGGAGTAATGTGGAAGTGAGTCGCAACTGAACACACACACACACAACTTGCATGATTGAATACAAACAACTTGACCAGTAAAGAGTAGATCATATATATAGTTTGCCTTCAACTTGTGCCAGTCGCATTTTGAGTATCAAATCTCTGGGTGATACTCAAAATTTGATCCCAGCCATCCCGGATATCTTTTTTGAGTTGGCCTGACATGCCGTTGCCGCAGCCCTGATTCTACCAATGGAAGTCGGTGGCATTGTCTCCTCAGGCTGCCATGATAAGCTACTTGGTGCTTCATTCAACCCCTCTGAAAAATGATGGGGTTCGTCAGTTGGGATGATGAAATTCCCAATATTATGGAAACATAATCCAAATGTTCCAACCACCAACCAGTAAGTGTCTGTGGGCATGTAGAGGTTGGTGTGACGGGTCAAAAAAACAGAAGACCCATGGCTTCCCCATCGGAAAAGGTTCACCCTGAGGGAAAAACTGTTGGGCCGGGGATGAGGTGTTGACGTCAACACCAAAAACGATATTTTTGGGGGACTGACCATCCATTCTTGAGAGCCATACTGAGCCATACCCAAATTTTGACACATCTCGAAAAGAACAAACAAATGCATCCGAACTGTTCCAGGATGACAATTCAGAACTGTTCCACCAACTGTTTGCCACCCCAAGCGAACCGCGCCGCCCAACCATCACGCGTGCCCCGGGGCCCTGTCCCATGTCTGAGAACCACGAGGGCAAAAACGCTGAACGTCTCGCAATGCAACTCCTGAAACTTCACCTCCAATCCTGAGACGCCCCAGTTGGGAGATGTTTTTGGCTTTCTAGTGGGAATATCTCGATGGTTTACTATATTTATAATTATATGTTTATATATACAATGTTTTAAATGGATGAAATCTACACAAGTCATCATGTAATATCACGGATCTATATAGATAATTGCTGTTTCGAGCCAATGGTTATTCAGCAGTTGTGAGGTACAGTACAGCGAGATCGTCGTCATACACATATCGAGGTGGATGATGGGGTGGTTCTCAAGGGTCTGTAAACTGCTAAAATAAAACATATATGATAACATATGGATACATATGGAGGTTTCCTGAAATGGGGATACCCCCAGTTATCATCCATTTAGGTTATTTTCCATAAAATAAACTATCCAATCTATGCAGCTATTATTGGGTCTTGGGTACCCCATTTATGGAACCCCCCACATCCGGGCGAACTAAGAACCCGGCACGTAAAGATATCCGGCAAATGCTGCCGCGCAAGCGCCGTGTCTTGCTGTATTGATGGGAGGCCTGAATTTCAGGGCTAGATCAGATTGGCATGTTGCGGTGCGTCGCAGCGTCCATGCGAACCACTCCTCTTGAAGCATCCAAAATTGAATCACTCTGCCAAATCAAACTTATCTGCATAAGTTAAACTTTAATGATTCACTGACTGGATAAGTTCAGCCATAAGAGCGCACATTTTTTTTGGCCCAGTTTTCAGGGGGTCCAATTATCATCAATTCTCCCCAGCTGAGGCGCTGGCAGCTTCTCCCAGGAACCATCAAGAGGATCAAAGCGCTCCACCGCAGACAGCGGTGCAAAAGTATCATCCAAACCTGGCGCCGTGGATCCGTGGCTGGGGTCTGGAGTCTGGAGGTTTCCGTTTTGTCATGGGGGTACCCCAAGCTCGCTGGATGGTTTTGAAGGGAAAATGCTATTAAAATGCTATTAAAATGGATGATTTAGCGGATTGTCCATGGTTTTTTTTCGGATTTTCCGTGAAATAAACCGGCCGGCCTGCTGGGGTATACCCCATTTATGGAACCTCCCCCCAAAAAAATATTTGGATGGGATGGGTCATGCTGAGGGGAACCCAAGAAATCCCAAGAATGGAATGGGTTAAAACACGTTAAAACTAATGGATCAACATCTGCAGTCTGAGATTTTGACTCATAGCCATAGATTGAAGGTCAGTCTTCTTGGAATTTGGCCTCTTTTGAACGCTTACAAAATCTTACAAATAAACTGTCTCATGGCTAATTCACCCACAAAAGACACGAAGACACCAACCTCAAGCCACCTCCAAACATCAAGTCTGCACTGGTTGGTTTCTCCTTTTCCAAATCCTACGACACCCACACTACAGCTGGGTCACATCAGTTCATAGAGTCTTTGGCCCTTGGCCCTCAACAGGTCATGGTCTCAACTTCCACTGGGCCCTGCTCCCAGTGATTTCATAGGGCCTCCAACCACATAGAGACGCTCACGTTGCAATTCGTGGATCAATTTTCCAATGGCACCCCTCAAAGCCTCGTAGCAGTTTGCAGCGGAGCCCCAGTTTGTCACTGGAGAATTATAAGATTACCATTGCAACTTATCCAGCTATATGAAGGCCAAACAAATCTGGTTCAATGCTGGGAATTAGTTTTTCTATGCATGGACCAGGGTAGTTATACTCTGTTTGCATTCATGGTACATTGCTCAGTCACCCTCCTGTTTTTGGCTGGCGCATGGTAGTTCACTCCAAAATGCAGGTAATCTACGATTTGTTAAATCCCTGCCTAACAACTGTCATATTTAATTAACTCTCCCTGTTTTCAACACCCTGACACCCTAATCATGAAGACCCCTCCGAAAGCCTTTTTTTTGATGCTGGATCTGATCATTCGGGATCATTGGGGGGTCCAATGGACCAATCAATCAGTGTGATCGCTGAAACGAACACTTTCCTGGGATACTGTTGGGCTTACTAGTTTTGAACATACACCACAGGACCACAAGCCATAGGTGATAACTTAGTTATGAGTTATGACTGAGTGGTATGATCCAGACTTTTTTTTAGAATTAATTGATGTCTCCTCTGAATCAAACGCGCTGATGGTTTTGTTGACATGTTTTTCCATGTGGGTGGATGTCAACTCCATTCACCGTCCACAATTGGATCTAAGAATTAACCAATGTTGGATTTTCTTGACATTTAGGACTTCCCAATTACCAATGAAGATCATCTAATCTCAACAAATGGATGGGACAATTGACAGGAGACCCATGGTTTTGACCCTCAAATTTTCCAGGGAGTCCTGTTGATTTTATGCACCTTGGAGCAAGTGGACAGCCGTCCCGCTGTCATTGGCGCGTCCGCTAGGGAGCAAACCTCTGCCGATTTTTTTTGCGGTTGCGATCTCGTGAGTGCTAGGAGAGTGAAGGTTCCTAGCCTGCATTTACCATCGATTTTCGCATGATTTCGAATTGCAAGATGGCCGTCTTATATTATTGGGGACCATTCTTTGGCTTTCAAACTTCGAGTTGGGTCACCACAATCAACCACACACACTGAACATCTCTGCTTTTTGTGAAGGTTATATCAGTTATATCCTCTATTTCCGAGCCAATCCTAGTGCTGAGGGTCACTTCACCTTGGCATGTAATTCAAAGAGGCTGACCAACAGACGTTGATTTTCCCAAATAGCCTGTCACTGACACCACATCTTGGGGGCGACTTTTGTTTGGATTAATACGAAATAAGTTTGCCAAATTTTCGGCAACACAAATCATGATCGCTGTGGCTTCAATCATGTTCAATCCTTGAATTCTGAAAACTGTCAAGTCCTAGGTCCTAGGTCCGCGTCCCAATGGCCGTCCCAAGTCCCCTTCCAGTTTTCGGCGAGAGACCGCCAATGCCAGATTCGTTTCAATCGCCGTTGCCTACGATTTGGTGATTGATCCCTTCCGCCTATCGCCACCCAGTGAAATGTATTGGATAGAAAAAAATGGCGTGATAGGGTTACTTTGTAAATTACCCTCTGGTTATGACTAACAGTTTGCCATTGAAAATCACCGTTTTTAATAGGTAAACCATCTATAAAGGGGCCATTTTCCATGGCTATGTTAAATAACCAGAGGGTATATTGAATTGATGATAGAACTTGTTCATCTTTAGGCAGACTCGTAAAGGTGCGAGACAACCGATGAGGAAAGGAAAAAGGGGGCTGCAAAGTCAATCTTGACCCGCATTTCGGGGGGTCACGTCACAACATTTACCGCAAAACAACACTAGCAGTAGCGGCAACAACAAAACACATATAAACAAATCGCATCCACAAAACATGTTTCCAGAATATTCCAGACCCTGAGACTAGACTATTATGGGATGGTGATTTAGCTTGTTGAGTATTGACCCAGAACTCTTTGCCTAGTGGCACTGCTGAAGCAATTGACAACGGCGCCTGACCATTGCGTTCTTGCTTCAGCAAGTCTGCCAGTATCGCATGCGGTGCAAAGGCACCATAACCTGTGAGTCGAGCACAGGTTAAGGGGCAGCAATGCTTTTTGGTTGGTTGATAGCATTGATAGCATTGATAGCCATGAACAAAGTGGATGATCGTATGGGAATTCCCAGTGAACCAATAACGATAACCATCCATAACCCCACTAATTTAGTATCATTTAATCATATCAACCGTCATTATCAATCATATTCAACTATACATCCCAATGTTTGCCCATCTTTCAAATATATTCAAACATATTCAAGTTTAATCATCAAACACCAGGTTTTTTGGGCCCAGCTGGCTTCCTCAACATGGCAGTCCCGCCTAGGTGGACCATGGGGCAATCTGCGATGGGACCGGGCTATTCCCGGGCGGGGCGTTTTGCAACTCGCCGGAAGCAACAGGTGCATCGAAGTGTTTCCAGACGCACGGGACTCACGGGACCCAATGTTTGGTCGAAATTCTGAATGGGGCTGAGGCAAAAAAGCCCAAAAAATCCCAAAAAAAACCCAAAAACCTGTTTTTAGCTGCACAAAAAAATATCATCATACGGTTAATACGGTCTAAGGAGTATCTGAGTCCGCGTTCGGAACACGTCTGATCTCTGACAAAAATCGAAAGATCCAGCGCCGCACTTTTTCGTCGCTGGGCATGGTTGACCCTGCGAGCAAACTCTCTCCGTTTGGAGAGGATCTTCTGGGCGATTTTCAGATGCCCGCCCTACCTCCAGCTACCTCCAGGCCGTCTTTGTGGACTTTGGGCGCTCCAAGACCTTCCAAAGTTCAGAAACCGTCACCATTAGACTCTAGACAGCCATCAGGGGATCCTTTTGGGCCATATGTGGCACTTCAATCTTGATGGGAAAACAATCTAGTCTAACTCTTGGATGACATTTTGCAATCTCCGAGTTGCAGCTATGGGAATGTAACCAACGTCACAAACGCTGGGTGAAGATTTGAACCATCAACAAAAAGAGAACTGTTGAACTCAGAAAACTGAAGGGATCCTACCTGGTGATGGTTCATCATCGTCATCATCGTCATCATCATCATCATCATCATCATCGTCATCATCATCATCATCATCATCATGATGATCATGATCATGATCATGTTCATATTCTTCTTCAGACTCGTAATCATATTCAAAATATTTCAAAATCATATGCGTATGTAATTTTCATATTTAATATGTATGTTATTTTATTCGTAAAATTGGTCAAAAACCAAGCATACCCAAACATACCCAAAGAACTGCAAGTTTAAGTATTCCAACTTGCAGGGCAGTCTCCCTCTGAGTCTGCAGCGTGTGATCGAGTCCTGCTCAAGCTGGCACTACCTCAAGGATCAGTTGTGGCCCAATGGCCGTGTCCGAAAATGGTGGTTTCACCGTTTCACCAGCCCAGTTATGGCCCGAAAATGTCGGGAAAAAATTGATTCAACTGATTCAACATCTTCTGGGCTAGCGAATATTTGTTCAGATCAACATCTCCGGCAGTTCCGGCAGTGGCTCCTGGTGAACTATCTCCACGATGGGCTAGTGGGTAGGAATAGACTTGGGGCACCAACACCATGGATTACAGTGAATGGTTTGAATCACTAAAAATAGGTAGTTGCCAAGTGATTTTCAGTTGTAATTCAGAGCAAACACATTGTGAGTTCGGCGATCCTTGAATATCGGTCAAATCTCATGCTGCTAGAATCACGATCATACAAATCATGTTAAACCTTCATCATTTTCTGTCAAACTCCCCATGGAGTGTGGATTTAATTGCTTGCGAGTTGAAAGACACCCTCATATGATCTCATCTGTATCCATGTCTGACTGGCTTAATCCGAACAAACAAAAGAACATGTGACCGTTTCTTGAGATGGGGGACGCAACATCCAATTTACTGGCAATGCTGCATGGTTTTCCCTTATCCAATCCACCATTATCAACCATGATTAACCATCATTAACAATCATTAACCCATTAAGTCAACCAGTATTCGTATAGCTTAAGGTTATTTACTTTACCCATTAAACAACCGTTATCAACCCCAGATCTCAGCTTCCCGGCTCGCTCGTGGCCTCTCAGCCTGTTAAGGGGAAATCCATGGGGTTTGCCATGTTTTTGTTGGATAAAGGTTCCGTGCAACCCTGACGTGGCTCCGCGCCGGAATTGCGGAAAGGTTGCGTATTTTTGACATGCCATGTGGGTGGACTTTCAATATGTAGATGTATATGTGATCCATGATCATCATCATCATCACCATCATCATCACCATCATCATCGTCATCACCATCATCATCATAGTCACCATCATCATCATCATCATCATCATCATCATCATATCATCATCATCATCATCATCATCATCACCATCATCATCGTCATCCCTGATGAAAAAAGTTGATGCTACTATCAGATTCAGCATATTTGCCACAGGTGATGGAAGTGTTGTTGATCCCTTATGAAGATATGTTGATGCTATCATCAGATTCAGCATATTTGTCAAAGGGGGTGGTGGAGGATTTGTTGATCACTTATGAAGATAAGTTGATGTTGTTCCTTATTCAACATATTTGTCAGAGGGAGTGGTGGATCTGTTGATCCCTTATGAAGATAAGTTGATGTGATTACCTCATTTAACATATTCGTCGGAGGTGGTGGTGGATTTTTGGCCCCTTTATGAAGATAAGTTGTTGTTATTCCTTATCCAACATAGTTGTCAGAAGGGGGTGGCGGATGTTGATATCTTATGAAGGCAAGTGGGTGTGATTATTCCATTTAACATATTTGTTATAGGGTGTGGTGGATTGCTGATCCCTTATGAAGATGAGTGGATGTGATTAACCCATTCAACATATTTGTCATAGGGGGTGGCGGATTTATGCTCCCTTATGCATATAAGACATATAAGTTGATGGTGTTACCCCATTCCACATGAGTTGACACTGGTGATCATTATGATCATGATGATGAGATCATGATGATGATGATGATGATGATGATAAAGATGATTGTAAGTGAGACCATGATCGTGATCATGATGATGATGATCATGATGATGATGATGATGATGACGGTGACAATGATGATTGTAAGTGTGGAACAACGTCCGGGTTGAACGGAACATGTTTAAGGGGTTTTCAAACTGCAGATTTTATATTCATCCAATTTTTCGATTTGGATTTTATTCTAGTAGATTCAGTGGGTTTTCCTTCTTTTTAATTTGTGTTTCCTTCATCCAATTCCAGGGAATATGCAAAACAGAATTCTTGCGATTCTTGGGGTATATGTTTCTCGTTTATGCGTTCAATATGCTTTAATCATTGTCAACCAAATCAGAGCTTATCTTAGGTAACCTGCATTTTTAAAATGCTGGTGAGTTTCTATCGCCATTGATGGCAAAAAATTGAAGTACAAACTACCCTACGTCAAAGCTTTTCAAGTGAGAAGTGTTCAAAACCCCAAAATCGTGTCCCTTGAAAAACTGATTGCTTGTAGAACGGGATTCCACGTTCACGGATTCTGATATTCCCCATGAAATATTGGTGAGTATAATCCCCGAACGAATCACCAATCAACATTCATCAAGTAGTCATGGTGAACCCCCATAAAACATCATAAAACATCATAAAAACTCAAAAAAAATCATAAGACATCATTAAAAAAATCATAAGACATCATAAAACATCAATAACACCCATATAAAAACCCTTTTCAACCTTTAAAATCATCCACCAACCATCAACCAGCACCCTCTTGGTACAGCTCGCTGCCCGACCCTCGAAGGAGTGGCCGGATAGTAGAACTCGCCCTAGGCTTCGCTGCGGGGCTTCGCCGCTGCGCTGATTTCCTACAATGTTCACGAATCTTCGTCAGATTTCATCCACTATTTTAGAATTACCATCTGCTTATGACATTCACAGTTTGCCATGGAAAGATCCACCATTTTTAAGAACGGTAAACCATCTATTTTTATAGGCCATCTATACCATGGCAAACTGTGAATGTCATAACCGCTGCGGGTATCTCCAGTACGTCTGGATCCAAGGGATTTGAGATAATAATTGTCGGGATTATCCACAAAATCCGATTCGTGAAACGCTGCAGTTTTCGGATCTTGTGTTTACTGAAGTATCATGAATTAGATGATGCCCTCTGGTAAACTAACATAACTATGGAAAATCACCATTTTCAATAGGTAAATCCACTATTTCTATGGCCATTTTCAATAGCTACGTTAAATTACCAGATGATGATCATCATGATGATGAATATTGTTTTCATGATGATGAGGGTATCTCCATGAATCTTGCTGATTTTTCGAATACTTCACGAATCTGGGGCACAAAAAAGGGGTGATTGAATGGGCTGTTTCCCTGAATCCTAACCATCGTTGCAGTGCACAATTCTTGAATACCCCCATCTGTTAACATCTGTTAAGTTTTCCGTTTTTTGGTAAGGGTATGGATTCCCATGCTTTTGGTGGTATCTTAATGCTTGTTTGGTTCTCTTACCACCTCTACTGTGTTGTCTCCTCATCTCTTGTTTTGTCAAGTGACATTTCCTTTTTACGCTAGCAGCATGTGGCAGGAAACCATGGTAGCTATCACTATCTAAAAACATGGAGCAGTCCTACAAAAATGTCCCTGTGAAACCAAAACCTAAAACAAATCCGGAATCTGTTCTTCTCTGGGTCATGTTCTATTGGTGATTTCTTATTTGAAAATTCCCTGCAGCCAAAATTTCAAGTCGTGTGATCTGTTCCCCCTTTACAAAGCAATCATCTTGTGTGAAGCCTGCACAATATGTATACAACGATAAAATCAGACATTACTGTGTATGTGTAAGTATATCATGTACATAGAAACATAGAAGATTGTGTCATTATGTATAAAACAATAGTATATAATAGTATATAATAGGATATAATAGGATATAATAGTATATAATAGGATATAATAGTATATAATAGGATATAATAGTATATAGTAGTATATTTCACTAACCTGAATCGCAGTGAGCCAGGCCTTCTTGGCGGCTTCGCGCAGGTTGGCTTCACTGCTTGGAAGAAGGCCATGACCTGAAGGCTGTTTGATATGCAGTATGTATAATTATCATACATTTATGGATGTGTATACATAATTATACAAATGTGTGTATGATATACCTAATTCTATGGATACATATATATATATATATATACACATACATATATATATATATATGTGGGCTATGATCTACAGTACCTAATTCTGTGGATTGTGTATGTACATGACACACATCCATGCATGTGTATATATATATAATCACTGTACATGTATCTGGAGTCTAAGTTTATTTGTATTACATGAAATGCATCTCTTTTACAAAATGCACATATTCATATATACATTCAAACATGGAAGTATAGGATATGGACAGAACAAAGACTCACTCAATGTGAGCGATAAACAACCAGGTTTCACATAGACAAACAATATGATCCTAAACGACAAACAGGTATGTATATACCCTCAGGTAAACTAATATATAACCGTAAATCACCATTTTGAACAGGGACATTGACATCATCTATTTCTATGGACCATGGCTTCGAAATAGTTTTTTTTAAGTTTACTGTGGGACAGCTTGACCCGTGGCCATCCCTATCCAGTACTGTCGGACATCCCGCAGTCCCATCCATACCAATCCCAGCCAAGCAGACCCATAGTTGCACCCAAGGGTGGTTGAACAACAGCTCCACTGTTGGCACAGTGTCCCCCCAGCAAAGCAACCTTCTGCCTGGCGATGGCTGCGTGACATTTTACAATACAGCCTCCCCAAGCTTCAAATGGTGTTAAAAATTTTACACGCCCCATTTCTGGTGAAATTTGGGATGGTTTTCTGTGTTCTCTTGGGTTTGCCACTGGGTGCCACTGGTACATTGCCACTTGCTCAAAATTCGATTTCTACGCTGAGATCCAACACACTTTTGGATTGATTGGTGAGTCATGGGCATTCTGGTGCAGATTCAAAAATGATCGCGACCTGACATCATGTTTGGTTTTACAAAAATCTGGGGTGGTTTCAGATCGAAAAATTGTCAATGGATTGGTTTAAGGGAAAATTTACAGGAAACCATAGATTTTCCCATTAAATATGGGGCTTTCCTGTAAAATTTCCCTTAATCCAATCCATTGAAATTGCGGATTCTGGCAGTCCAACCGGGTTTCTATCTATTTCCGGCTCTGACCTCAACTCTCACGGCTTCCCCCTGCCTCGGATTTCGCGGTTGTGAACGCAAGGCACCCAGAACACAACCAGAGTTGGTACCTGGAAGACAACACGACTGGGGAAGTTCTTCAATTATGGCAACCCCCAAAAGGATTGACAAGCAACACCCTACTGAAATAGCGGTGATATGATGTGTTTTTCTACTTTTTTGGGGTTGCTAAAAGAATGAAGTGTGGTCTATGAAGTCCCAATTGATAAAGCACCAACATGTCCTATTGGTTTATTGGTTTATTGTGGAAAAGAAAGAACTTTGGTAAGACATTGTTTCTCAACCTTGCAATTGGATTCACCGTAGGAACAATGCATCATAAAACCAAAAAACAAATATAAACAAACAACATATATGTATATATTTCATAGTAAACCATGGGATGAAGTCATGGATATCTTCATCTCCAATCTCCGCCCGTCTTTGCGGGTCGTCACCAGCGCGATCCGAACGCCGAGGCAAAACCTGGACGTAGGGAGCTCCCAGCGGGATTTGTGTCAAAAGTCCAGCTGGATGTAAAGAAAACATTGGTGCCTGTTTAAGTTGCTAAAATATGGAGGTTTCCTTAAAAACAAATGGGCCAGTTATCATCCAGTCGTCATGGATGACCAGTTTACTTAGTCTTATGGTGAGTTGGTTGTCCCCCATTTGAAGAAACCTCCAAATGTATGCCCAACAAAAACATGAAGCTCGTATTTGTCAAATGGTGATGTGTCGACGCTTTTCCACATTCAGGTCTGCTTCACCCAAAGCCACACCAAAGCCACAAAACCGATGGTTATGCCATGTTATGCCAAAAAGATCCAAAAAGAACATCAAGTTTTAAGGAATCTAAAGTTCCCATTTCCCCGAAATCAGTCTTCGTTCTTTGGGGAAGTGAAATCTTCAGCCATGAACCATGTTGAATCTGTGCTCCGCTGAGATCCAAACTGAGTCCTTTTGTGATGGGGGTGCTAACAGTCCTGCGAAAGCGCTCCATCAGTTGTTGGTTCATTTGGGAAGCTTGGGATATGGGAGCTATGTTGTTTGCATGAATCTATCATGGAAACAACAACAACAACAACAACAACAACAACAACAACAACAACAACAACACCAACACTAGATGAATTCTACAGTACATGCTAAGAGTTGAATATATAAATGTAAACTAATCAATACATGAACAACACAACTAATAAATCGATACATAGTTTGTTCATGTAGTAGGGATAGCTCTTCCGACTCCATCATGGCGGTCCTTGAACTTTGGAATAGGTAACGCCAGTCCTTCCTGGTCAGCTGCCACCCGTTCGAGTGCTTGTGATTAGAAGAAACCAGAACTGTCACACACTGGCCCTCAGAGGGAAAGTACATCAATGTGGCACACAAAATGCAATGAATCATCCCCAAACCAGAAATATCCAGAAATCTTTGGGTCTTGGGGCAAACAGCAAAAATGGTGGGTTCCACACATTCGCCTTGGTCCAAGAGTTCAAACGCCTCGGCTTCGACACGTCAGCCATTGTTTCATGGGAAGCAGAATCAAAACATTCAGGAAACATTGTAGTTTAGTAAACCCCTGGGAAATCACTGTTCTATCTCTTTGGGGGTTGCGATATCTTCAAATCTGTAGTGACTCCAGTTGTCATGTTTAAAATATATTCAAATATTCCTTGATGCAACATGATCCAACCTATCAAGAATGAAAACGGTGACACGTTTCTTTCAAACAAATGTGGTGCTGCAGCGAAGTGATCCCAGAATCGACAGCTATTGATCCAACGTCCAAGTTGTTTGGTTTGCACCTCTAAGTTTTCAAATTGGACATAATTTGTTGTTGTTGGCTTCTCCATCTGGTTGCAGTTCAATAATTAGTTACAACCTAGCTATTCCTACAGTAGGATGTGTTGGTCTAATCGGCCTAACCCCAAATGCTTTGATTGTCAATACATAAATTCTTGTAACCTTTCTTGTCGGTGGCTCAGGCCTGAGTTTTCAGGTACCAGGCCCAAAGCATAATTAGTGCTGGTGAGTTGTATCAATTATATTCCCATTGCAGTGATGAGCTGTAAAGCTCCATTTAGTTTTCGCGGGATTTTCAATGTAAATCATGTTACAGTAAATCTCCACTTCCCGAGGGTTGAACCATGGTTAGATCCCCATTTCCACGTCCCAGAAATATATATGGCAAATGCCTGGGCTTTGCCCCGAACCGCAACGACGATAGGCAACGCATCATCATCATGATCATCATCATGATCATCATCATGATCATCATCATCATCATCATCATCATTGTTGATCTTCCCAATTCAATGTAGAGTTTAAAAGGGGGGGTGGGATTCTAGTATTCCCTAATACCTTTGTTGATCTTCCCAATTAAATGTAAAGTTGCAGCAACATTTGATTGGGAATGGGAACCCTCTACGCTGCAACGCTGGGGAGAAGCCCAGGCGTTGCACGTGTATGTATGTATGTATGTATATATATACATATATATGGTCTTATATGGTCTTGTATGGTCTTACATGGTAAATCCCATTCAATTCCCATTTAATTCCCATTTTAAATATATGATATATGAAGATATATGTACATATATTATACTCCCCATGCATTTCATCCAGATCCCTGACTTATTATATGGGGGTTTCCTAAAATAGGGGTATCCCCAAATCATCAATGTTAATAGGATTTTCCATTATAAAACTAACCATTTTGGGGCTCGCCATTTATGGAAATGCCCATCTGGTTGGTGGTTTCAACCCGTGTGAAAAAATATGAAAGTCAGTTAGGAATATTATTCCCAATATATGGAGAGTCATAAAATTTCATGGTTCCAAACCACCAACCAGCCATATGATTAAGTATGGTTGCAAACTCCCATGTCCACCAGGGACCCACCCAGCCATTCTGTTGCCATCGAGGCGCCGTGTTCAGCGCTGAGGCCGGTGTGCCGAGGATGGCATGGGCGCTGGCGGGCCGTGAGGGAAGACCTGAAGCGATCAACACAAAGAGATGGGGCTCATGATGTGATCATGACTAGTAATGGTTAGTTAATCGTGATTACTGGTTGGTGGTTTTAACCATCTTGAAAAATATGAAAGTCAATGGGAAGGGTTATCCCATATATGATGGAAAATGAAAAATGTTCGAAACCACCACGTTTTCCACGTTTTCTGACTGCGTGCAAGCTCGTTTGGGGGAGCGTAGCACTGGTAGCTAGGTCCACAGTTCCCTTTGGAACTTACACTGCTAACTCCAAGCGCCGTCTTGGGAACGGCAAGGCTGTAAGAGCTCCTGCGTCTCGTGTGCACGGTCGTGGGAGGTGCTCTGCCAACCAATTGTCAACAGTGTGAAGCGAGAAAGTCGCCCATGGAATGGATGCACTTTGCACGAAGGCCTGGATCATACTGAAGGGACGCCTGGCACTTATGAACTTATAAACTAACTTAACATGAACTTATGTTGAGGGGTGGCTAAGTTGTGTTATAAGTTTTATAACTTTTTAGTATCGTTTTTTTGCGTTTTGTGGTTTACGTTTTTTTTGGCGGCCTGCGCACTTTGTTTTTCATCCCAGCAAGAGAAAAACGGTGTGTTTTGTGTCAGTGCACTCGACGCGGTGTAGCGCGGCATTGTCACAGCGCGGCAAATCTTCAACTGGCAGCAGGGTAATCTTAGTCAGGGTGATCAAGCGAGACCAGCGTGTAAAGGTGGGTGCTATTTCTTCTTCTTTTTGCAGCTGTTTCCCAAGCAAAAAGAAGGCTTTCTTTCTTTCTGCTGCGCCCACAATTTCAAGTGCCGTTCCATCAGGCAGAATTTTGTATTGTCCTTGTCCATGAACGACTGCTTTGTGCTGCAGTTGTTTAGTAATTTTCCAGTTTTTTGCTTCCATTTGTTTTTGGAGAGGTTCGCACAAACAAGTGGCATTCCCACGCAACAGCTGAGTTGACAGCGTTTTGTCGTGCTCAGTTATTTTCAAATCATTTTCTCCTAGCTCCAAGAGAGCCACCGCATTGAGTGTGCTCAGCTGTTTCAAACGCGGCGCAATTCGCGATTTGTAGTATTGATGCTTTCGTTCCGTGGGAAATGCATCAAATGTTTTTTGCGCTCTCAACCATTGGTCTGGCAGGTGGAGGGAGTAGTGTAACTTGGGACGCACCAAGTTCACTCCATAGCATTTGACAAAGGAAAGGACGTGTTCCTTCTGTTCCTGCCGCATGCGAGGCACCATTGCCACAGCATTGTCACGTTTGGCACGCAGCCACGTAGCAATGACTGCGGCCAAAGAAGTCAAACTTTGGATTTCGTCGGTCATCTCAGGATATGTCGGCAAAACCAGTTCATGACTGAAGGCCACACACAAGGGCAACACATCTAAGGTTTCCGATGCATCTCCACGGAAATCTTTGCCATCGACCCACAGCTTTGCGCTGAAGAGTTTGCCCATGTCTCTGAGATTGGGCGGGCAATCTTTCCAGCAAGTTTTGGCATATGACAAAAGATGATTCAACCTTATGTTGGTCTTGCCAGCAAGAGCTGAATGCCAGAGCCCTAATTCTTGACACACAATCCCATTGGATACGAAACAATGCATTGGATCATATAGACAATCGTCCAGATTAACGATGTCTTTCAATGCGGGATTGAGCAAAAAGCTTGCTGACAAAGCTTTGCTATTCCAACCGAGCAGGGTTTCTGCCTTTTCTACAGCAGTCTTGTTTGGCAGATTTTGTAAATAGTCAACAATGTCATTCAGACCCTGCGTCGTTGCTGCCTCCCACTTTTCGACTGCAGCAGAGCTGATATGTTGGTGATTTCCAAGGTTTGTGTGGTCTCCTCCCACAACGTTGGTGCAGCGGAAACAAGGTTTCAATCCGCTAGCACCTTTCGCTCCTAACAGCAAACGCAGGCCGTCCGCATCTGCCAGCAAGGAAATTTTGCGAATATGCGCAAGACAAGGGCCCGTTCGAAACTCCAGCATGAACCCTGCTTTTGTTTCCTCCCACACCGCCTCCAAAATGGCGGACATGCTGCGCGCATATCCCTGTGGCATGCCTTGCAGTTCTTGGCTTCGTGTCAGAGATAACGTCATCCAAGATGTATCTGCCCATAGAGCGGCCACGTCGGCATAGGCAAAGTAGGTTGCTGCTGCTTTTCTCCTCAAGTCAGGAGCCAGCACATTACCCGGAACTATTTCGTCCCAAAACACTAATAATTCCAATTCATAATTGTGAGCTTGCACCACTTCAGCCAAGCAGTCATGAAAGAAGGGGCAGCTATCTAATTTATTCTGCGTGCATTCGACCACTGAAAAAAGGAGCAAGGTCAATTCCGTATTCTCGCCACACACGGTGACGTTACGCAGAGCTCTTGCAGCATCAGGATACAACTGTTCCTTCCGGCTGCAGCTTCTCTTCCCTGTGTCGCCTTTATCGACATTTAAGAGTTCCATTACTGATCGGCATTGTCTGTGATTTAAGGAAGCCACTTGCCGCAGTGCTTGAAATTGCTCCTTCAGCGGGGCATCTGCATCTAATTTGCGCTTTGGCATCACGATGTGTGATTCAAACCTGAGCCACCTTGATTTCATTAAGTTATAATGACAACATTCTCATATCCAAATCCATAATTAGAGGAATTGTATTGCTTGGAACCTGCAATTGGATACGAGTGGCCTTTCTCTATATACCGTCACATGTGAGCCAAAGCACCTGCGGGACGCAACTGTCGACCTGTGCCCTACTCTTGGCACTTGACTCATGCAATATATATATATATATGTATATGTGTATATATACATGCCAATGCGTATCGTAGACATTTTTTCTTTACCAACACACTGTATTCGCAGATATTGGCATTCTTTCATCTCTTTATACTAGCATGGAGGCCCAGTCAAATATCGAACATCATGGGAATTGGCTCCCATATATATAATCAGTGTCCATGCCTTGCGACATGTTTGCACGGTTTTTCCAACCTGGCTTCGTCTAAGAAATACGTTTTTTGTCCCCTTGTCTTTTTTTCGAATGGGAAAACATATTGCTCACGCTAAAGTCTTTGCTCTGGCAGCAACCATGTGGAACATAACCATGTCTCGCAATGCCGTCTTTTCAACCAATGGAGTATGATAGTGACTATCATTGTCACTCTGTGTGTGCGCAGATCTATAGTGTCTCTACCGATTTGCGTTTTTAGGATTCGACCGACACGAGTTTCAAATGAAATATGCCAATGACAGGTCAGATGTTGGAAATCCGAACATGACGTTCTATAGTAACATCGCAGGGACTACGCTGGATCTGTTTCTGTTTGTGTAAATTACCACGTTCGAGACATTGCATTTCGAGGGTTGATTGTTGTTTAAACAACGGCAAGCAACGGACCCAATTTTTTTTCTTTCCTCTCTGCGGTGCTCTAACACAGACATAGTTCCCTACTGTGTCTACTCATCGCAGAACCTTGACGATAGCAACGTCACAGGGATTGTGCCACGGGTAGTATGGCAAAACTGAATGGCAACATTCACCTGGCAGCAGCTGGCCGGACTCAATCAGCGGAGAACTAAGGGCACTTTGAGCGACGGCGCTTCGGGGCAGAATCAGCCTTAGCTGCCGCAGGCCGCTTCAAACTGGCTCCCGGTGAGTGCTGCACTTCTGCCAAGCTTGCCTCTGACCCCTGTCCGGCTTGTCTCCCAGGTGAACGGCTCTCTGCTTTGGCCTTCGCCTTTGGCTTGGGCAGCAGGGCACGCAGGCCTTTCGCCACTTCAGCCGCTTGCTGCAGAATCGTTTTCTGATCTGCAGCCTCAAACGGCAAAGCTTCGAGCTGCACAGCGCAGTCCCCCCCCTTGTCCATCAGACCGGCAGAGGCCGCGACACGAGACCGCGCAGCCTCGGTCCAACCACTCAATTGGCCAACTACATTGCGACACGTCGCGGCTAAATCCGCTTCCACGGTCACATTGCTCTTAGCCAAGCGCTGCTCCAGCTGAGACAACGTCGTCAGTGCTTGCTGCAGTGGACCCACGGCTTTGGCAGCACGGTTAGCAATGCCCACATTCTTGGCTCGCTCCTTCTTGGCAGCAGCCTCAGGATTCTTCTCCTTTGATTTCTTCTCGGCCTCCGTCGCTGGCAAATCCATTTCTCCTTGGTCAGAAGCATTTTCTTCTGCGTCATTACCATCCTCGGCTTTCTTCTTCTTGCCCTTCCGGTTCTGTGTGATTTCCTGCTCATGCTGCAGGATCTGTTGCTCGATGCGGTTGAACTCTTCCTGCCAGCTCAGCTCCTTGACATTAACGCAATAGACTTGGCATTGGTATGCTTCTGACCACTCATTCGGTTGCGCCTCCACAACCTCTCGGGGCCACCCTTGCTGGATCCACACGCTGAGCGGCAACTGCTTGCCTCGCAGCGTTGTCTTGTGAGTATGCATGCGGCGCTCGGTCAAACTCGTCACGAGCGTTGCTCGAAGTGTGGTCCAGAGAAGGCGCCCTCCCAGGTTCTCTTGCTTCTTCCGATGGACACTACGGAAGAATCTGCAAGACTCGTCCGTCGAAAAAGAGTCCAGACCGCTGCCTTGACTCCCCAAGTTTCGTCGGAGAGCACGGTCTGCCGAAGCACACGTGATGCACGTGAAGAAGCGGCCATGCACGCGGCCCTCAGCCACGGGATACTTGAGGCTACACAACTTACACGTCTTTTCCGGCTCCATGTGCGGAAGACAGCGCAGAACCAGCGGCGACCAGCAGCAGCTATAGGGAACCAAAGCAAAATGCTGCGGAAGAGAACATGCAGTGAGCAGTGACAAGTCATGAGCATGGCTAACATGGGAACGTGGTGTGAGTCGATCATTCTGCCCAACCCATACCCAAAAAAGTATATTTTTACACACTTGCAAACTGACGACAAGATAAAAAATAGTCCGTTCCTCGACCCAACCGCGGACACCCGCGGACAAGCCATCCTCCGTTCAAGCGGACAAACTCTTTCTTCCTCTCTTGTCTCTGCTACTAAAGCCGCGGACAAGTCCCGGTCAGGTCACCATTCCGCGGACACCCGCGGACTACCTCCTTTGGGGAGAGCCAATCCATGCACCATACTCTGCTGAGTGGTGGACAGCTCGTCGATCACCTGGAGCAGCCAGCGGATCTCTATCTCAAACCCAGCCGTCCCCTGCAGCGCCGCTAGCAGATTGCCAGCGTCCGTGATGGCTGCTGAGAACTCATCACAGTGATATCCTCGAACTTCTTGCTCATACTGTTGGTAGCGACCATTGTCTCCAGCAGGAATCTGGCAATGCAACGTGACCGCCTCCTCAGCAGTCTTTCCTGCGTTCGTCCAATGCGTTGCATGCAGCAACAGCGCATGAAAGCACAGCAATGCTTCAAGGGCTTGCTGCTCCTCCGCATGTGCTGCCCTCCCTTCGGCCATATATAAACAGCTACTGAGGTTCGACCAAGCATCGCACCAGTCAGCCATTGGGTTCGGCTGCCATCTGCCTCGGACGCCTGGCTGCACAGCCTGAACCAGCATCTCGTGCAAGGCCGCGACATGCTGCGTAGAACGCTGAAAGGTCACAGCGCGCTCCATGAGTAGGCAGTGCAGAGAATGCTACCAAGAAGTTGACATGGATCCGGAACAGATCAGAAATGACATGTTGCTTGTCTTTTTGCTGCTGTGCTATATTTGTTTTCGAAACTTTCAGCACATGAATCTCTCCATATCGAACTGGAACCAAAAGGACCCGAACCGTTGCACATCGATGAAACAGACATGAGGCCGTGTTCTTTCCGTTTTATAAAGCTAACCACATCCCCACCACGACAACAGACCCCGAGAACCTAACATAAATATACCTTGCAGCCGACAGAACTGACTAGTCTACGTTTTGCATTTGCCTTTCTTTCTGTTTCCTATCCCTCATTCCAGACCCAGTACAGCGGACTCACGAGCTGCCTTTTTCCAACCCGAAGCACGCGTGTCCAAGTGCCGCGTCAGCTCAGCGCATGGAACCCGCAAAACAGCAGCAAGGTGAGCCGCAGCTATTCGCGGAGCCAGGAGATACTGTCATCTAATTAATATTGATGACCACCTGGCGGCGCTTCTTGTTCCCCTGGCGGTGGTCACTGTCATCAGATGGGGACGACTCGCAGTCATCCTTCTTCTTCTTCTTCTTGTTCTTCTTCTCCGGCTCCGGCGGCGGCAAACGGGGCGACGCCTCAGGAGACGGCACCCGGCCGCTGCTTGCCGGACGCTCCTGATTGGAACGCAGAGACAGCGCCACACTGCGTCCTCGGAAATCCTCCTCCGGCAGATCCCACCCCTCCTCTGCTGCCATGGTCTCGCGTTGATACTTCTTGCCACGGGCGATTTTCTTGGCTTCATACCACGACCACTGTTCTTCTCGGTCCTGTTTGGTCATCTGCGACCAAATCTGGTGTGCCAAACACCATTCATTGAGGTATTGATGCTGCTCGAGAGCAGCATTGTGCGGGGCAGTTTTCTGTCCGCAGTATTCGCAGACCCACTGTATGGTCTTACCGCGACCCTTGCCTCCCTTGGGTCCCTTCTGTCCTTTATTGTTCTTCTTCATCGTGTCAGGACCGTGGGAGTGTTTGGGAGGATGCGGCGGCTCAGGAACTGCAGAAGCCACGCTGCGGCGATCACGGTCACGATCCGTGCGGTGTCGTCCCTCACCACCACGGCGCTTGCCATGGGAGCGGCCATCATGATGACGGCGACGGCGGGGGCGGCCACGGCCCCGCGAGCGAGATTTTTTCGGTTGCTCCTTCTCTTTCTCCTTCTCACTCTTCGTTTCTGCAGATTCCTCCGCAGAAACGTCCTCCTGGGAGGAACTTTCTTCTTCCTTGGAGCCCGCCATGCACCTGCCAGAACAAACAAGGAATTTAGATTCGTTGGAAAACAGATGGAAGGTACAGCAAGACGACACGACATGCTACGATACAGTAGAAACAAACCAAGACGGCTATCTATAAATGTCATAAGCGGACACCATGCACTACACACGTTACAACAGATGGAAGAGAAAAGACAGAAAGAGCGCAAGCGTGCCCGTGCTCTGTGCACCACGCAGATGCGCAAAGACATGCCACCCCTCAGGTGACATACCTAGCACATGGCACAGCCACCACGCAGGTGACGAGGTCATCAGACACCACGCAGGTATCTCTCACCACGCAGGTGAGTGCCACCACGCAGGTGACAGTGTTCTCAGATACCACGCAGGTATCTCTCACCGCGCAGGTGAGTGCCACCGCGCAGGTACCACGCAGGTATCTCTCACCGCGCAGGTGAGTGCCACCACGCAGGTGACGACATTCTCAGATACCACGCAGGTATCTCTCACCGCGCAGGTGAGTGCCACCACGCAGGTGACGACGTTCTCAGATACCACGCAGGTATCTCTCACCGCGCAGGTGATTGCCACCACGCAGGTGACATGCCACCACGCAAGTGACGAAGTCAGCAGATACCACACAGGTATCTCTCACCACGCAGGTGAGTGTCACCACGCAGGTGACAGAGAAAGCGGATACCAAGCAGGTTTCTCTCACCTTGCAGGTGAGTGCCACCACGCAGGTGACAAAGGACGTCGATACCACGCAGGTATCACTGACCTCTTGCGGTCAATGCCACCACGCAGGTGCTCATCCAGTCAGTTTCATCAACAGAAAAAAAAACAGCAGCTCTGTGCAGTTCAGCCCAGACACAGACAAGGGATGAAACCATTCTTACGATTAATCGTAGTTGCTAAATAGTTTGTATCCTTAATAACCCGAAGATACCAATCCCCAGACCCTGCCTGTGTCAGCGCACAGAAGAACCGAGGAAAAGCCGTCGCAGTAGAGTTCGAGCCCTAAAAGGATGCGATAAACACTATATGGGTGTTAGGGAATTCCCACACAATAGCATGCGGCAGAAATGGTGACAAGAAAAAGAGAAACATTTCTAAATTTATTCATTCACTTTAACTTTCAAACACAAACCCACAAACCATACAATTTCTTTTCCACCATCGCCTGCAACCAAACATCGTCCGGACTAGTTGCACCTATACCGTCTACCCTAACTACGCTACAGTTTGTAGCCTCTGCGGCCCCAGCATGACACGGTGCAAAACTTCCGATGATAGCAGCGACTACAGCCACCTGCGTATCGTTCCAGCAACTCGGCTGGTATGCGTTTCAGCAACGCCGCCCTCTTAGGATCTGGCTCCTGCAGAGACACGGCAGCAGCAGCTGGCCTCTTCAAAGCAGAGGCCGGTCGCTTCAAGACAGAATTCTTGGGACCCTTTTTGCCGCCACTATTCTTTTTCTTCGTCGGCAGCGGTTCCGTTTCCTTGCCTCGCTTTGCGGACTTTTCTGTTTCCAGGTCGGCACGAATTTTGTCAATCATGGCCGGCGGTTTCGAAGTTGCTGCATCCACCTGCCTCGGAATTTTCTCCTCTGTCTCCTGAGGTTTATCCATCAAAGCAAGCTGCGTCTGCTGCTGCTGCTGCTGCTGCGGACAAACAGAAGGACGGTGAAAAATTTGCAAGCCCGGAATCTCTGGCTCAGCAGCCGCAGCTGCAGGCAAAACCCTTTCACTCACCGCCTTGGAAACCTCTCGGGCCACCGCAGATGCCATGGCGAGGACCGCGTCAGTCCCGGTAGATGGCACAGAAGAAGCCATGCCCAAGTTGCCACTGACAGCAACCACATTGGTGCTGCGCAAAGGCCAACCTTTGCCCAAGGCAATGATTTCTTGCAAACTCTTCTGAGTGGGCAAACCCGGCTGAAATCCATCCGGATACGCTGCACGCAGCAGAGCCTCCGGACACTCTTCCCACTTCTGTGGTAATATCAAAGGTCTGCTAGGCGGAGTCGCAGCTCGCAGCAGATGTCGCTTCATGACCGGTTTCCACTTGGTCAAAATCTTCCATTTCTCGCAATCCAAGATTGCATTTCGTAGGTGCAACGTGGCACCGAGAAGATAGAGGAACGCGTACGTCTCCTCCGTTGGATTTTGCAATCCCAACTTACCTGCATGTACGCACAGGAGCTCCAATCTCTTCTCTTCCTCACCAAGCTTTCCTTGCTCCAAGAACCGCCACCATTCTGAGGAGAGATAATGGGGCAAGGCGGTGTAATCCTGTTGCTTTGCTCTGCGGGACTTGTCCTCTATCTCTTCCTCCATTTTTGTATGATCTGCCAAAGCAGCTTTCAGTTGGCTCATTGTCTCATTGTCCCAAACAGATGAATCCAAACATTGCAAAATGGATCCTGACTGTTCCACTGTCACAGAAGTCTTGCGGATAATCGTCACAAGACGAAGAGCCTGCTTTCTGCGCAGCTCTGCGAAATGCGGCAGCGAAGCCAAGCCATTGAGAAACTTTTGCGACGAAACTATTTGTTTTTCAATTTGAGCCATATCCGCGACTACCACATGCACATACTATCGCGCAGCCATACCAAACGCAAAAAAAAACACCAAAACAAAAAACATACTTACAAAACATTCAAAAAACACTATGTTTAAAAAAAGCTAAGTAGTTTCTAACTTTTTTTTACTTCATAGCATAAGTATACTTGCAACTCCCTAAATCCTGTTATAACTTGCCTTAAAAACAATGCAACTTATACGGGCACTTATGAACTTAAAAACATACTTATGCCTCGGCAAGTTGATTTACAACTTAACTTGCAACCACGTAAGTTCCGCGCGATCCTAAAGTAGTGCTAGATGGCCGACACTGCTCAAGCGCCACAACCACTGAAGCCTCCTTCCAAACTGCCTTCTGCATCTGGCGAAACCAGCGTAGCCTCATTCTGAAAGAAAAACCGGCTGCAGACAAATATGGCCTTGTATCAATGTCAACCCATTGGTTTTGAACTCTCAGAGGGCCTGGATGGCCCCAGCACATTTGGAAGTCCAGGTACAGCTGTGCAAAGGAAACCCAACGCACCTCTGGGCGTGGTGCCCCTCCAATCCGCGTTGTGAACCATTGTACAACTCGTCTGATATGGGCGGCACCAAACAACCTAGTGGCAATTGGGAACACATGGCCAACCCACTGTCCGATCTCAAAACGCATAGTAAACTCCCTTGTCACACGAGGGGCTGGGGCCTCCTCTCGACATTCAACGCCTTCAGCTCGAACATGTCTACGTCCAACAGCAACATGCAATGCTTGAACCTGGCTTGCAAGCTGTTGGGCGACTTGAGACTGCTGAACATGTTTCTCCCACAACATCCAGAAAGATTCCGGTCGTGCCTGATTGGCCAGTCTCGCCGCTCTGTCGACGTACCCGTTGTGAAAAAATTGCCAACCTTCATGAGCTGTCCTCGCACTCTGAAGAGTGCGGTGAGCCGCAACTTTGTTGATGCGCACGTTGTCTGGTCCAAGTGCATCAATGGATGCTGCAATCCACACCCACAAGTCACTGTTAGGCCGGTTGAGCGCCAGTTTGAACTGACCCTGGCACAGTAACTTAACTCGGTTCACAACCCCAAGGCAGTCAGACCACAGTCGGATGGCCGTGCCAGTGCTGGCAGCCCAATGCAACGCATAGGCAACTGCATGCAATTCCGCTCTAAATGCAGTTTGACAAACCCCAGACAAAGCAGAAGCACAAAGGACAGCAGTCGACCCGGGAGTCCATGCCGACTGAAACGGTGGAGCCAAGACCACAGCCCAAGCGGCAAGTCGGTACGTAGCATGAGCCTGCCAAAGACAAGAACCATCGGTGAACACATCATTCCACACCCCAACCCTGAAGGAAACGGCAGGTGGCAAAACTTGGGCAGGCAAGGCAGCGAGAGCAGAAATCCAATCCTGCCAAGTAGGAGGCAGCAAAGCCCACCCCCGGAGAGCCAGGGCAGGTGGCAATTGAGACCAGATGGCCGCCGCATCAGGGGCCAGTGCGGCCCGCAGATCAGCATGTTGGATGCACTCCCAGTAACGATGCTGCAAAGAGTCAGTTTGACCGCACCAACGACAGGTATCTGGTTGGCTAGTCCATTTCGCCTTGTAAGACTCAGTGAAAAGTCCACCAATCAGTCCAAACCTCAACAGCGCTTGGTCGTCTGGGGCAAGGGCAGAGAGGGCTCGCCGAGTATAGGCAACATCGACTTGCCACAATCCATGGAATTCATGTCGGTGCTGAACCTTCGCAGCAACAACCTGGTACCAAGCACAAGTAAGGCGCAACTCAACCTCTGCAAAATTGCCTGTCTGGATGGAGAATCGACCAAAGGCATCGTGCACAAAACCATGCCGATCAACCGTGAGACCAACTTGTTGGAGCCTACTCAAGAGAATAGATGCAATTGCATTGGGTGGCAAATCCAAATCACCATGAGCAACACAAGCAACTGAGGAAGTCCAAAAATCCACGTCGCAGTTGTTGCGGGCAGCACGGCAAGTCCAAAGGAGGGCAACAAGCTGGGGGTCAACATGAAATTCCACAAGTCCAAGAAGCAGGTAGGAATTGACGCCTGGTGTCTGGTGAGCCAATGCATGTGTGGCTCTGCGCCGCAACTCTGTCCAGATGCTGTCACCAAGCGGGGCGCTTGCTACAGCATGCAAGCCTCTTGGCCATGCAACAGCTCTCAGCATGTAAACCTTTGCTTGGTAACGTGCTTTGCTGGCACGAAGCTTTGGCCAAAATTCTTCAAGGGCGGAAATCCGCTGGGTGAGGGTGCGGTTGGTGTACTGCCGGGACACCCCAAAATGTCCCCCAAGCTCACGCGCATGATGGACGACGGTGACTTGACTGGCTCTCAGTCGCTGGCGCACCTCAGGGTCAGTCGACCAGGCAACAGTTTTCCGCTGGTCTACAGTCAAGTCCAGCATGTTGGCAAAGGTAACAACCAAGTCAAGCTGACGCTCGGCAAAGGCAGGGTCCCACGTGAAGACATGCCAATCGTCAACGCAACTCAAGGACCGACAGGGACCCCCATGGAAGGAAATCCAACGGTGAAAGATATGATCCACCAGCAACATCCCGTACACGCTAAGTCCACACCCCTCTGCAAGCCCAGTGGAGGTCAGAAAACCATCTGAAAACGACTCCCGAACCTTGAAGTGGCGCTTCATGTCAGCAAGGCCACCAGCCCAGGCGGTCGTAACCTCAGGGGGTGTGCCAGCCAGGATTGCGAGACGCAGTGCAGGAAACCGGGGGATGCAATTGAAGCACTTCTCGATGTCGGCTGACAACCCGCAGATGGCTTGGCCTGTGCTGTAAGCTGTTTCAATCTGCAACAACAGGAAGTTCCACAGATCAGAGGCTTGTCTCCGTTTGCGGTTACCATACACTCCCTCATCAGCCCAGCAATCAGCCCATGCAAGGAGATGTCTGGATACCATGGAGTTGCAACAGGTTGGACACCAAACCGACCACATCCGGAAGGCCTAGGCCCCAAATCCACGGTTTCGGCACGTCAGCCAGAAGTCCAATGGCCTGGCCAAAACTATTTCGCAAATCTTCATGGATACGGTGCAACTCTTCCTCATGCACTGGCAGCGGTTTGTTGAGCAAGACATGACCCAGAAAACAGACAGCGGCAGCACCACAGTGATCCTTGGCAAAGGAACGACGATTGCACGCAAGAGCAAACATGGGGCGATTCCAGGCCTGGCTGATCAGTCCATGCAACGGGCAAAGAGGCTCAGTGGTGCCCTCATCATGTTCCCACATGGTCACACGCACTTCTGAAAGTCCACAAGTCCACATGATAGGAATCCAATGACCGTCCAACAGAACAACACTGACAATGCTAGTGGTGCCGGGGACTTCATCCATCCAAGCAGTGCCATGGCGCAGCCACCCAGAGGCAAGCAAAGGGTCAAGGAAACGAAGTCCAGCACGGCCCGACAATTGCACGCAGGACATGACATGCAGGTTCAGTTCATCATCGCCCATAGCTGCCCCTTGATTGTGCAAAATATGCAACCTGGCAGTGTTGGGAGTTGTAGCCTGTCGCATGGCAATACATTGATCACGGGAAACAATCAAAGGAGGCACCAAAGCAGCAAGTTGAGAACCATTCAACACAAGCAGACCAGTCAAAGCATCAGATGGAAGACGAACATCGACAGTGCAATGCCTTTTAGTACCATGAAAATCGGAAGTCACATCAACACAAGAAGGCAAACTGACACCGGGCAAATCCACCGACAGAGAAGGACGAACAGGAACCAAAGGAAGATCAGTTTCAAGTCGATCAACATCAACAGTTTCAACAACATCGGGCTCAGACAAGGGTTCACTCGACGGGGAAGAGCAAACCCGGATTGTGCGTCCACTGACAACATCAGTATCCTGCAAAAGACGGGATGAATTGGCATCAATCCACTTGCCATCTTCAGGGCCCTGCAAAGCATCATCAGCCTGACGGAGTTGTGACACGGTGGCATCAGCAGAGACTTGCACTTTCACCTGGGTTTCGTCAGAGTATACCAACACAACCTCATGAGTTTCTGAGTCCACAAGTGTTGGTGCAACCGGGGTGACACTCATGAACAAGTCCTTGGCAACATCATAAAGCTTCTGCTTAAACTGCTGAAGAACCGCTGTCGGTGCCAGGGAGTCAGCAGGAAGTCCAAGGCTGAGCAGCAGTTGTTGCCGGGTGCAAATCCCAACCCACAAGGCTTGCAACGGTGATGCAAGCTGGCCAACAGCACAAAGACACAGCCTCAAACTGGGCCGCTGAGAGGAAGTCCAAACCTCAGGAGGAGGAAGTCCATTGAGAACTGCAAGTTCGGCGGGATGCAAATGACGATACTGTGGTTCACCTGTGCTAGTGGGGATCTGCACAACTACTGCATATATGCCCTTACTGCGGACCAACGCTTCACTGAAAGGCTCAAGCCTGCATGTGCATGGGCATGGGTCAGCTTGGCAACCCCAACTGTGCAAACAAGTTGGCAGCTTTTGGTCCAATTGCAACACATACTTTCTCATGTGTGACCCGTCAAGAGTGAACTGAGTGATCTCATGGGGTTTCAACCGAAGTTCATCAATCACATCAGAGGGCCATGTTGGGATGACCGGCATCAAATCACGAACCACAAGACTAGCTGACTTTGGCCAATCGGGTATCGAAATCTTTCCAAGAGACGGGTGTGTTGCAATCAGCCACCACCTGAAACGTCGAGAAGTCCAAGTGTCCTCCAAACGCAAGGTGACTTCAGTCAGGTGATATCCTAAGTCATGTTCCAGTGCGGCAAGAAGCGATCTGGCATACCTGTTGGTACGGACTGGCGGTACACACTCCAAAATCAGGAGTGGGCATTGAAACAAATGGCATGCCCTGAGAGTGGATGGCAAGGTGTTCGACCGATCGTCTTTGCTACCACCTTGAGAACCCCCTACCGAGTAAGGCTGGCAGCTGATACCTGCGACAAGGGTGAATGGTGAGTCCACAAGAGAGGCAACTTGTTTGAGGCATGACAGCTCACCGATGTCTCCAACCACCACGGGAACAGTAGGGTGAACGGTTTCATGCACAGACGCCAAAGGGGAACGCCACTCAACACTGCACGCCAAGTCAAAACCTGCAGCAGCAAGTCCAACACCGGTAGCACCAAGGCCCGCACAAAACTCCACAGTCCGAAAGAGATCACAGGCAGGCTGAAGTCCATGAGCCATCACCATGCTGGTGTCGGTCAACAACAAATCCACAAACGGTGGGGAGTGGTCAACCAGGGCACCAAAGACAGTCATGCGCCTACATCCACGAAGCTGCTTGTCGATCTCACCAAAAATCCTGACAGGTTTGTGGTCTGGCAAGCTATGCCCAAGGACCAGTTCCTCAGTGAAAAGCATCCCATCTATCACCAATGAAACAGTGGCCCCTTTCATTGTAACATCCCAGTTAGGCACGAACATGTTGTGCTGTGCCACAGCTGTGTCCCACTCTGTTCCAAACCACCAACCAGATTAATTAGTAATGATTAGTAATGATTCGTAATGATTCGTAATGACTAGTAATGGTTATATAGTAATGATTAATATTGGTTAATGTTGGTTAATCATGATGGTCAATAATGGTTGATAATGAACGTTAACGGTATTAATGGCGAGTAATTGATCAGTATTGATGATGAATGAACACAAAAACAATCTATAACAATCTATAACAATCTACAACAATCTATAACAATCCATAACAAGTTATAACAATCTATAACAGTCTATATATCATTGATGGTTGACAACGAGTCATAATGATGGCTAGTAGTCTGACCGGCGAAGAATGTGGATCGCTATGTCTTTTTTTGTTAGTCGTCCCATCACTGGTGCCATTCGTTTATGGCTAGCTGGCTGGGCGAGGGGTGTGTGTCCGAAAATGGGCTACCCTCTGGTGAACATACAAAAAGCTATGGAAAATGGCTATAGAAATAGTGGATTTTCCCATGAAACATGGTGATTTTCCATTGCTATGTTAGTTCACCAGAGGGTATACCCAAAAATAGTTCCCTGGTTGGTGGTTGAGCCCTACCCCTCTGAAAAATGATGGAGTGAGTGACAGTTGGGATGATGAAAGATGATTATTCCATTCCCAACTGAATGGAAAGTCATAAAATTCCATGGTTCCAAACCACCAACCAGTTCTTCTATGGTGTTTTTCTTTCTCATAAATCCATATACTCCGTTCGATGGGATTATAGATGGTTCAGAATACTTTGCATACCATTGGAGATAGCGACGTAGTTGGCCAATATATGCTAATGTGGCTGTGAGTCACAACCCCAGTACCCTGGTGAACCCTATATTGTAGCTGGTAAATGGATGAGTGCATCCCCTCAAATGCAGTAATAAAAGGTTTTGACCCATACCAATATAGATATAAGTGCAGAATATATATATATATATAAATAAATAATATAATATAATATAATATAATACATATATATAGTATATATATAATATAGTATATATAAAATATATAAACATATATAAGAAGATATAATAACATATAATGATATATAATAAATTATATTATATAATATACAATATAATGTAATATATATATAATAATATAAAATAATAAATAATACTATAAAATAATATATAAGAATATATAATAATATATATAATATAATATATAGTATATAATAATATAATATAATGTAAAATAATATAATGTAAAATAATATAAATAAATAAATAAATAAATATATATATATATATATTAATATATACGTATATATAAATAGATTATTTTTCCTCCATCATTTCCAGGCCAACAAAACTCCGCATCTCTCAGGCTGCCACGAGACCGCCAATCCTGGGCGCCGTTCCAACGATGATCAATTCCCTATAGGTTACACATGGTTACAGTACTATTATGGTAACCATAACGGTAATGCCCTAGGTACAATTTAATGGTTTTGTATAAACTAACCAGAATTGTGGTAACCATAATAAACTGGTTACCAAACAGATAGTTGGAGTTTGTTAGGTGTATTTTGCAAAATATAAAGAGTTTTTTTTGAGATAATGTTATGTGATGCTATGTGGTTCTGAAATTCTCAAGCATATGCTGGTAATAACCTGGTAATAGCATCTTACACATCTCGTTGGCAAAGGAATGTTTCATGGACGGTATTGCCAGCATGTTAGCTCCAAAAAATGGGGATCAAACACTCAGCATCACTGCACGCCATTTGGACAAACTACAAGTTGGCCATGATTATTTGATAAAATGCTAGGTGTAAGTATGACAGTTCTTCAATATAAATGTATTATACAAACTATGTCGTATTCACTTGATGACCTTTGTCCATGTAAATGACCTGCAGTACGGAAAACAATCGCACAAACACATCGCATATACACATATCGTATAGCCTACATTATCATGAACCATCAATCCTCCCTATGAAAGGTATTATGTGTCTTTTCTCTGCGAGTCACAGTTCATATTGTTGGTAGGAGTTTTGAATCCCATCAGCCAATTCTTGATTTGAAGGAACAAGCATCTGAAACTGCTATTAGTGAGTTGTATCTATTTTGAGATGTAAATAAGATTGTCCCCACCGTCTCTTTGATGGTCCCAAAAAAAGGTTTGTTCCAAAAAAACACTGGGATAATACCCCCTAATCCCATGATCATCATGTTCCCCATGGCTGCATCCACTGGGGGATCTCCCGTCAAAGCCATGTGAAAGACCAAGATGATCTCCAAATCTCCGATGATATTCCAATCATCTTCTCATCAACAGGTCAAGCCCCCAAGGTCAGTATGACCCATTTTCAGAAATCTCCTAAAATAATGGTACCCCCAAAACATCTGGGTAATTATCATAATTCACTACTCTGAAATGTTGGGCTATTTTGGGATGATTCCCCTTAGTAACCTTTAATCCATTTTTATCATCATTACCCTTTTAAAGGGGGGACGTACCCAAATTGCCAGACACAATTTAGACGTTTTTGAGGGAGGGGGGCCTGGTAAATGTCAGCATTTATTTTTCTAACTGCGTTCTATTTGCAAGATTTCATTTTAGTAGGTCCCCTCACTCTTTACGGGATTTCATTTATTTTCCTAAAAAATGCAAGGGGTCGTTCAAAATGTCCGATTGCATTTTTGAAAAAAATGCAAGAAAATGAACAACAAATGTAAAATTGTAGCGTGAAAGTCTGCAAATATCTGCAGAATTGCAGAAAATCAAAAATGCAAACTGAAAGTTTGTCGGACCCCAATTGCTTGGTATTTCCAATACATTCTACACTTTTTCTGCACCTTTTTTTATCATTTCCACATGTAACATAGAGGTATAGAAGGTATATTATTCCTTGCAAATTACAGGAAAATCCTTGAACTTCAAATAAATGTAAAATTAGATGTTGAAGGTCTTCAAATTTAACTCCTACCTATGGAAAAACAATAGAATACAAATAAAGATCTCAAATGGACCTCAAAAGGACCTCAAATGAACCTTTATGGGGTCCCCATGATAAACCCACCCCCTTTATGTATCTACATGATCGAACTTAAACACCCTCCTGCCACGGTTCCTATCTAGCCCCCTCATGACCCTCCAACCATAATATCATAACAATCTACACATGTGTCATGCTGATTCTGAAAGGAACTGTGGAAACTGAGGTGTAGGATGGTTACATTTTTCTATCTTAGCTTTACCTTCTTTTTTGAGCACTTTCTGCAAGGAACTATGGACCTTATGTATCGGATGGTGTTTTTTTTAATCTTCTAGTTACCTTCTGTTTAAGCACTTTCTGCAAGGAATTATAGGCCTCAGGTGTAGTAGGGTTACCTTTGTCTATCTCATTTTTACCTTCTTTTAAAGCAATTTCTGCAAGGAATTAAGGACCTGAAGTGTAGGATGGTTACATTTTTTTATCTCATCTCTACCTTCTTTTTTAAGCACTTTCTGCCAGGAATTATAGGCCTCAGGTGTAGGATGGTTACATTTTTCTATCTTAGTTTTACCTTCCTTTTCGAACACTTTCTGCAAGGAACTATGGACCTCAAACATAGGTTGATTACATCCCCACAAAGACACCTCACAAACAGTTTACAAACTGCTTGCGGACATTTAACAATTTTTACCTTCCCCCCCTCCTATCCGTAGAGTACGGGGGGGGGAGGGTTCGGAGGGGGTACGGGGTGACGTATCTCTTTCGGACTTTCAACCCCCCCTAAATATAAATCTTCCGGGGCACGGTTTTTGACGTAGGAGGGGTCTAACATACATATAGCCTTCCCCATCGGGAAAAAATACGAAGGGGTCAAAATTGTTGCTTACATTTTTTGAACGTCCCCCATGCTTACACCCGAAAAAGGTGGTGATTTTTTTAAATCTATTTTTGGAAATTTTCGGATGACAAAAACCATCCAGCCATTCCTTGGGTCCCGCCAGCCTTTCGGCACAGCGGGATGGATCAAACGCCAAGGTTCCGGTGCTTCCTCCCTGCGATACGAGTGAGGAGCGTCAACGATGAGGTCCTGCCAGCGGCCAGCGTTGGATTCTGTAGAAAAACATGGAGAAATATGAAGAAACAATGAGAAACAGAAGGCTTCAAGATGGTTCAGGAAGTGGTATTTCATCTTCGGAGGATTCAATATGGTTTAATATCTTCCATGTTTGCTGAGGAAACTCCTTGTTTCGTTGCGACGATCCAATTGCCTATACTTACTGCTTCTTCTATGGGGCGTTCATCCCAAAGGGCCCCCCAATTAACTACCGAACCAATTGGAAAAGGACATCTATGACCGGCATAATAATTTGTTCTTGCAGATGTGCAGCTATAGTCATTATAACTACAATTAGAATACAATCACTATAACTACAATAGTCACTTGTATGTGTAATTTAGTCATTCAATACAATAACTCATCAGAAACTCCCAGGTCCGACTTCCCAATTGAAAACTGACGTGGAACCACCAAGAATAATTGGCTTTGGGCTCCAGGAGGCTCCAGTGGGAAATTCTCAGTGATGAATAGAAAGAACACAAACACTACAGGTCGGTGGTCTAAACATGTGAAAACCCGTCTCAAAAATAGGAGGCACCTCGACCAATCATTTCAAGTCTGCCAAGTCTGTTTCAAAAACAATACGTATTTGAGACCCCCAAGCAGACGACCATCAATCCACCCAACCCAACCTTAGCCTCGCTGTCAAAACCCAAACCTGCCACCAGGAACATTTCAGGCACCATTTGTGGGACAAGAATGCATCTGGAAGCGATGATGCGTAGTGCAAAAAAAAATAGGGAACCAATGGATATACGATATCTCTATCCATCCATTATCTATACAGTGGGATGCTGGTATGAGGTGACGTATGCAAGCAATGATGGATATCATTGGGTATCAGTAATCAAGATTATTGACAAGAGGTTCCTTTTGGCTAAAGAAGCCCCTAGTGATGCACAGTCTTTACCAATTGTAGCATCGGTGTAGGGTTCCTCGACCTTAAGATGGTACTTCACTGGACATCACATATTTAAGCTTCCCAGTGGCCCATCTTGCCAGCGTTTTGTTTCTGGACCTCGGCTGAGCTCCAAACTTGACTCCAACTCGGGGATATCCAGTTCCAACTCCCTGGACGCTATCGGTATCTCCTGGGCTTTGGAAAATGCTGGTTGGATCAACTGGGGACCCAAGATCTAGGCGAAGCAGCCCCAAAAATCAACAAAAAACCCTCCGACCGGCACGAGGTCGCAGCTTTCACAGTTGCTGGCCATGATTTTGCCGACAATTTCTGCAAATATTTTCTCATATTTTCTCTGTCACCATGATTCGGTGTGTAAAACCAGTGGCGTGCAAGATCTATATAGTGAAGGTGTCGCTTTCCCGATCCCACTCCTTGTAAGAAGCAGTAGGATTAGGGAAGCTTGGCTATAGAGGAAAAATATGGGTCTTCAAAAATGTAAATTGTCATATATTCATTTAAATTCTCCAACAGCTAGGGTAGCCATGGGTACCCCCTCCCTCCAATGGTTTGAAAGCTGCTTCCCTCTGCCATTGATCCAACTGCTCCTGTGGAGCGAAGCCCTTGTAGACCTTCCAAGCCTAGGCTCGAGATGAGTCATGGATCTAGAACTGACCCAACTTGGTGATACTTTGCTAACATGGCCCAGTTCTAGAGTTCTAGATGATTTACCATGATTTACCATGATTTACCATGATTTACCATGATTTACCATGCTTTTTAGCTAGTGAAAGGTGAACATAGATCAACATCTCTCAACATGTGGTGTTTTTCCGTCGCTACCAGAGGCTAACTCACGATGGCACTGCGCCCTCAGAGATCGACAGGGTGCGCCGGATCATATGGCACTTTTGGCCCAGCCTTTTTCCTGTAGGGTGCCAGCATTGTTTGGGCAGTTTTCCCAGAGATTTAGCATGGATCAATGATTAGGGATTAATGATGGATGGTAGATTTATGATTGAATTGAATCATTATTATTATATCAATGGCCATTTCAGGTACCTAAATTGGAGGTACCTACCATTGGTACAGTACCTCCATTTTAGGATCCTGAAATTCCCATTGATTATATATGTGGATAAATCTAATAATTATGATTGATTCAGAATGTCACAATCCAACTTTCAAGGGTCTTAGCCGGCTTGATGCTGAGGTCTCAAGATGCTGCATCCCAAATCAAGCCCTGAAATGATGCCGTTGTCGATCCCAAACTTGAGTTTGACGCCTATTTGAGCTGGATTACTTCTTTATCAGTGACCTGCTGAATCTATAGCTATACGGGCTATATTATGGCTATCAGTCAAAATCCTGGCGCCCGGATGGTACCCTAGAATAGCTGGTTAATGGATGTGTGTTCCCAAAATATGGTAAGAATGGTTTTGACCCATCCCCACATTTTAAACCAACGCTGGGAGACTTTGGGAGGAAAGTGACACTCAAGTCCGGGACCTGCCTTCCTTGGCACTCGAGCACCTCAGTCGCTTGATGCAGCTCGGTGCAGTATCATTTACCTTCGTCACAAGGAAAGTACGCAAGAATCAACAATCAACATCTGTTTACTGTTATCATTTGGAACATTTAAGCACCAGTTTTTGGAAATTTCTGCTCTAGTTCAACCCAAGTCATGACAACTATGCCTCCTTTGAGCATGGCTTTGGAAGGGCAGTCTGAAGCTCTGAAACCAGCAAGGCACGACACCAGGTTGAACTCGCATGGTTTGCAAGGGACTCGGTTGAATACACTCCGACCTGCACGCACCAAGATGGATGATCCCTGGTAGATCTCCAAAGTTCTTCGGCTTCCTTTTCGCTGAGAATAGGTGATCCAACATGGGCACTCTCTGGTAACGTACCATGGCAATGAACAACTCGCATGTGGAAGGTAGCAACATCATCGAATTAGTGAAGTTTCACCGCTGCGATTGTTTGCCAGGGGGTATCTAATTCCAAAACTGTGGTATGTGTTACCGTTTTTCTGGAAAATTAGCTATCCCGTAAGAAAGGGCAAAGTTCAGTTGGAATACAAACCAAAGATCTTCGTTTCATGCCGTATCAGAGGGATAACCTATGAATCAACCAAAGCAAGGGTTACCCTCCGGTAATCAAGTCATCAAACATGGCTCGAAAATCCCACATAAACCTCCATCCATATTCCAGCTAGCCCTGTTTGATTGCCCCATCAAATCCCAACAATATCCCATCATATAAATCCGATCAAATCCCATTAAATCAAACTAAGTCACTAAGTCCCATCAAACCACTATCAAATCACCAAGAAATCCCTATCAAAGCCGATTTGTTGATGGTTAAACGCACCATTTCCAGCCAGCCATGTTTGATTTTTCACCGAAGCCCAACCGTTGGTCCAGGCCTAATAAAACCGTCACTTCGAAGCCCCTTTTCACCTCCAGGCACTGAAACCGCTGAAGCCTCAGTCCTCGGCGAAGTCGTTGACGTTCTCCGGGATGGGTAGATACGAAACATCCGATTTGTTTTTTTTAATCACCTATGATGCCTCTATGATTACATGGTATTTACATATGTATTTACTATGCCATATAACCACATAACCATATATCATATACATTTATGTTATGGATTTCCTTACCCCAGAATCAGGTTGACGAGCTGATGATCAAACATGGGGTATCTCACGGGTGTCACGGTGGCCCCGAACCCACTGCTTCATCATCATTGCACCATATATGTTCTTGAAACCAACAAAAAAACTTTATAGAAACCCCCAAAAAAAGCTAGAAAAATCCATTCCCACTAGGGAGTCACTAGTGATCAATTGAAGCGTTTCTATCTTTTTTGGGGGATGCCGGGATGACTGATGACTGTAATCATGGGTGCACTCTGTGCCCTGTACGCATGGGAGTCTGCCTTGGAGATGTCCTGGCGTCGATGCTGGAAACACGGCTGGTCCACCTTTCATTCTGAGTGGTCAGAGTTGGGAAAAACCAAAAATTGATCGGATTAGAACCCATAGGATCCATGGTGCTGCTATATATGGTAACATGGATCCCATCAATATACCCCAAATGTTAGCATATATACCATACATGGATTCTATGGGGAATACTTTGAATGAAAACTAAGTGTGCTCCTTGGAGTTTTATATCTTGACCCATGTTTAATAAACATGGCCAGCCTTGTATGTCCTTCACCGTTTTGTTTTGCTGGCACATAAATACGGTAATCTGGGGGAAACAATATAACCCAACCCAAAATACTGATTTGACTTATTAATCATTACCCAATCATCGACAATCATTAGCCACTAATTACCCAGCACTGGACCAACCAAATCCATTCATTGTTTGGCAGCATACAAGTTTGACCAATTCACAGCCAGGGAATTATCATTGATGTTATCGCACATAGCAAGCAATTGCAACAAAATCCCTTCCCCCCTTACTTTAAATCCTAACCTAAATCCCTGGTTTGGCATTGGATGTATCAATCTTGGAGTACCAACTATGGGAAGTATTTGATATGATTGGGGGATGGGGTTGCATTGTCGTTGCTATTGTCACTGTTTAAGCTTTGGTATTGATTTCTGCTTATACCCCCTATGTTATATACACCCCTACTTTTAAATGCTATACCATATTAAAGCCCCTAATTTTGCAAAAAAAATGACCCCCTACTTTTCATGGTTAAATCCCCTACTTTTCATGGTTAAACCAGCTTGAAACCCCTAAGCAAATCACAGATGTTCACCGTTCAATCACCCTTCGTCTCATCGATGTAAAAACCCCGACCTGAACAGAGATGCCACTGCTCTTCGCAGCCTCATGGATAAGGCTTCCCCTCCGGCCATGGGATCCATAAATGATATAAATAGATATGCTAATATAGAAATTATTGGGAATGTGGTTATTCCATATTATTCCATATTCTTTATATCTGCATTTGGGATAGGAATACTATGGAATAATTACTATAGGTATCGGAAAAAACACGTCTCAAAATGTCTCAAATGTTGATGTTTCAACTTCGGAACCACCCCCAAATTATCCAAAAATCAAGGGAGTATTGAGCAGGAAGTCTTGAAAACCTTCCTAAGCCAGTTCTTTTTTCACCTAACATCGGTTCAATTACAATTCATATATGGGAATGTCCTAAAATGGTGGTACCCCTAGTTATCATCCATTTCATTTTCGGCTGTTCCATTATAAACCATCCAGCTATTGGGGTACCCCCATTTAAGGACACCCCCATATCCACATCAACAAAGCCGCATGAAGGCTTCACCCTGCACCTCCGTCACATCGCGTGGAGTCACCTAGCGACAACATCGTGACGTGCTCACTGCAAGGAACCCGTGATGGAGCCTCTTAGAATGTCCAGCCCCAGAGGGTCAAGAATCCCATGGCGTTCACTCCTGCCTTGCAGCTCTTTACATCAAATTGAATGGAGGCGTTCATCTTTGGAAGCCTCCGGCCAAGGATGCTCAGCTTGGACGCTTCACGGTGACAAGAAAGAATGGGCATCTGGTGCCAAAATCCATCTTTTGATGGTCAGAATCTGAGTGATTATTTGGAGGAGAAAGTCATGGAAAGTGCTCAGAAACCACTTTCTGGCGACGCTTCGCCATGCTGCGCCTCTCCATTTCATCAGGCGGAATGGCATTCTCTGGAGCATGTCCAAGGCCCTCCGAGTTGCCAAGCTCTCCGATTTCTCTTTTAAACACCTGGCTGGCGCAAAAATTGGAGGAAATAGGCGGAACCAAAAAAAACATTCTGGATCCACTTAGATTGCTGCTTATTTTCATAACTATCTAAGATGATCTAAGTGTTCAAACAATCAAAAATTTGCTGGGCAAATCAGTCAAAGAGGTCATCGTCCAAGGCCTTCATCTCTTGCTGCCTCCTTTGCTCTTCACGTCTCAACTCCTCCAGAACAGCAATGGATGAGTCTTGATTGGAAATGGGATGAAACCATATGAAACCTACCCTTGCAAGATTTCGCTAGTATAACTATTAGTTCTTATGATACACTCTAGATTTATATAGAACACGTGGCCCACTTGGCACATTTGGAGTTGGCAGGATTCATCCCGGAACGATGCCGATGCTCGGAGTAGTGAAAATGCCCAACAAACCTCAACAAAACACAGTTCAATCCATGGATTTGGAAGAGTTCAAAACACAGATTCCCCTGTTGGACATGACAAATGCTTGGGGTATCCAGCTACGAAAATTCCAGGTCGTAAGTAAGTGACATGTAAGTGAGCAAAGAAAGTGGGTTCGCAACCAAAACACATGGGAAAATCATTTTGACAAAAATTAGGGTACACGATACACAATGATACACATATGATTCTAGGTCACACCCCATTGTCACTGTTGGCATTCCCTAACTTTTGTGGTTTGTATTGGCGGGATATGTCATGCAATTTCTGTTGTTTGAATCCTCTGCCAACTCCATCATTTGCTGGTGAAGTGGTGAACTCAAAATTATTGCTGTTGATCCCTTGTTTTTGCAACATTCCCATTAGTGTTTGCATTTTTTCTTTCTGCTGAAATTACGAGTGGGGCGGTAATTTGCACAATATGGTGGTGATATTCGGGTGATATTCGGATTCTTGGTGGCTAGCCAGGTTTAATCCACGATCTTACCTCGTTGGTGGTATACCTACCTCTCTGAAAAATATGAGTTCGTCAGTTGGGATGATTATCCCATTCCCAGCTGAATGGAACGTCGCAAAATTCCATGGTTCCAAACCACCAACCAGTTATGATTGCTATCTTCCTTCTTCCGCCCGTTTAATCCGTGATCTCATCACTAGTTCGTTCATCCCAAGTCTGACGACTCTTCACTATGGTCAAATGTAGGTCACCGGTAACCATCCAGCCACAAAAATCCAGAAATCCATATGTAAACCCCAAGAAGTGGATACCCTCAAGATCAAACAAACCCCCTTGTCCGACAAATTAGAACCCCAAATCTGGGTTCTAGAATGGTGTTCCTTTAAAAACCCAAGGTTTTCACATCCCTCAACGGAGGGCAAATTAGAACCCCAAAGTCTACGGATGGTAGGGTTCTAGAATCATGTTCCTGCAAACCATACAAAATCATGGAAAATTGACGCGGTTTTTTTTTGGGATCCTCCTTGTTATTATCTGAAGAAAAATTTGGCATTTCATTTGCACACAGGTTTTGTCCTCCCGAACGCATTGCGCGGTTCAGGTCATCAAAACGTTTTGGATTATTCTGTTTTGAAGGATTTTTTTGAGGCTGCGTCAGGCCCACCCTCTCCGGAAAATATAAGCAGCACCTTTTTTTAAAGCAACGTCGGGATGGATGCAAAAATCGATTGCAACCTTTTGACCCACTTTCCCCCCACAAAGAATGCGTCGTCCAGTCATCTTTTGAAATCGCCTTCCTTTTAAAACATATCTTACCGCATTACAGTCTGGCAAGACTGTCGCAATGAAGGAAAGATTGCCTTGCCCATGACCAGTCTCAAAACTTCCTGGGCCATCAGTCTCTCCCCCTTCTTTGTTCTCCGAAAGTTCTCTATCAAATGTGTTGCAGACGGATGTGGAATGCAGAAGAGATGTGACAAAATAGCTGAGTTTGGGTTACAGCTGGCCATCAGTCAGCACCTGTGGGTCTAGAATGGTTGCCTTCATGCTCCACAAACATTTTGACACGCACTGACCTGGGGAAGATGATTATAGACCCGCGTCCTTCGTTCCAAACGGTGTGGTTGAACCAAAAGTGTTGGTACCCAAAGAATGCGCAGAAGGATGCAGAATGTAGAAGGGATGTCAAAGGATGGCTAAGCGGCTAAGTTGGCTTATAGCTGGCCATCAGTCAGCACCTGGGGTTCTAGAATGGTTGCCTTCGAGCTCCAAAAAAAATTGACACGTATTGACCTGGGGAAGATGATTATAGACCCGCGTCCTTCTTTCCAAACGGTTTGGTTGAACCAAAAGTGTTGGTATCTAAAGAATGCACAGAAGGATGTAGAATGTAGAAGGGATGTCAAAGGATGGCTAAGCGGCTAAGTTGGCTTATAGCTGGCCATCAGTCAGCACCTGGGGTTCTAGATTGGTTGCCTTTGGGCTTAAAAAGCACTTGACACGCACTGACCTGGGGAAGATGATTATAGACCCGCGTCCTTCTTTCCAAACGGTTTGGTTGAACCAAAAGTGTTGGTATCTGAAGAATGCGCAGAAGGATGTAGAATGTAGAAGGGATATCAAAGGATGGCTAAGCGGCCAAGTTGAATTATAGCTGGCCATCAGTCAGCACCTGGGGTTCTAGAATGGTTGCCTTTGGGCTTAAAAAGCGCTTGACACGCACTGACCTGGGGAAGATGACGATAGACCCGCGTCCTTTTTTTCCAACCGGCTTGGTTGTACCAAAGAGTTGGTATCTAAAGGATGGAGGTGTTGGGTGGAAACAAGGGTGCGCATCACTGCAGGTTGCTGATCACAACTTGACCTGGCATTTTTGCTTTCCAAACAAAATTGGCATTGTGTGGGAGGTTGGCGGTAATGGTGAGGCTCGCGTTTTTTAATTGAGGACGTTGCCGGATATAATTCAATACGTTGTTTATCGTTGCACATTGCTGCAGCTGCTCAGCACCGTTTTACCTCTTTTTTTCAGAAGTTTCAAACCAAGCGACATTGAAACCACCTGGTTTTGAAAATGGACATCTTGATCGACCAAAACCAGGGATGCTAATTCCAAACATGTTTTGCACCTTCGCGCAGAGACCTCATCACGACTTGGTTCCTTTTTCTGCATTCCAAAACAATGACCTTTTCTTGTGGTCTGTTGGAATCAATTCATACCGCAACAAGGCTCATATATCCAAACTTTCAGGGTTCTATTTTGATAGCCTTTCAGGGTTCTAAAATCATAGTGGTGATGATTTTAGAACCTTCAACAGGAACCCCGGGGGGGGATTCTAGACACCTCGATCTTGAGGGTATAAAAGTGGGATATGTAAAGTTCCATGAGAACAACCACCTAAGTCATCTGATTACATGTCCTATCGTATCCCCACTATAAAACCAAGCATATGATGATTTTTTATGATTTACAATTCCAAATATGACTAACTAAACTACCATGTGGTTGGGAAACTCTATTTGTAGCTCCAACCATAGCTCAACTCGCCGCCAGAACTTGTCGGACCAACTATATCCAACATATAGATGATCATTTACTATGATTTACTATTCCAAAATTGACTACTTTACACTAATTAACTATAGTAACTAACCTTCCTTTGGAATAGTTTACAGTTTACTATTCTTCCACTGGTTACATGTCCTATCCCAACTATATTCTCCAAAACTAGTATCTAGTTTTCATGTGTTTACATGTTACATTTATTCCGATCATTGCGAAAATTGGAGGTGTCCTAACATGGAGCCCGGCTCATCCAAGTCAGCTGCTCCTCTTCCTCCCAGCGGCTGATGGCCTCCGCCTGGGCCAACCTGGCGCGGGGAAAATGGCAGCTTTGATCTGGAAGAATGAGTTCTGCTGGGCAAAATGAGGCAAAATGTCTTGGAATTTTCGGGAGTTTTGAAGAATTCTGTTTCTTTCATCATGGGAATTTTCGTCCAGCTTGAGTTCGACTCATCTCTGTCCCGTTTCGCCCATTGCCATGAGGAGTGGAGCAGCCCATTGGAGGATGGTGTATAACTCACCAACCACGGTTGGATTTCACCTGCAACAAACCGGATTTTTTCACGAAGTTCACCATTGAGATTTATACAGATTTATACTGGATATGAAGCTCAGCCTCAAACATTGGGTTTCATCAGGCTCAAAGACTGGATCTGGCTTCGCATCACATTCATAATATGGGTCATGGATCAAAACCCAAGAGTAGCTGTTAAATGGATGTTCATCCCCCCTATAAATGGTATTTATAGGTGTTGATGCATAGCCATATGGGTCATTGTCAGATCTTTAATTCCCACGCTTTCTCCAACAGCGTATCTGGTCCAATGCTACACAGCTCGCCTTTGTGCATATCGCTGCAGCCACTCATGACCTTGAAAGCTCCCGCTTCCAAGGCTTCCAAGTCTGTATATATAGTAGTTGGATATAGTTGGTCATTCATGCATTTCATAGAATCGTCGATTAGGTTCGATAAGGACACATGAGGACATTTTTGTTGGGTCATGTTGGGTCATCTTTCCATATGGGAATCTGCGTAATTCTTTCCAAGGTGGTCACCCCGATGCCTTGCCAAGGTTCAGCTCGGTTCTAAGATCCAAACGCAGGGGGTCATCAGGGTCCCGGTCGTCAACCTCAGAAGGTTGCAGCCCTTGAGGAGCGGTTACAGGAGCGATTCCATAGCTGTTGGACCTGGGACTCTGTTTCAATTGTTTTCCGACCTCATTTTCACAGCCTTTCACCATAAAGTGGGCAACCCTCCAATATTGACCGCCATGATACGCCGTTACACCACTGAGCCTTTTGCCGGAGTGTCGGAGAGTGGGAGGACTCGAGTTCTGTGAAGCAACCTATAGTGAAGCGACAACAGTGCCGGGAACCCCAGGACTTCAACCCCGTTTTGACTTCAACTATCCTCCGATGTCAGAGTGATCAAGGCATTGAGTAGTAAGATGCCGGAAAATGCCAAAAATCACGTTGCTTTGTCTGTAAATGGGGAAATACCCACAGCCATCCTTTTGAGAAACGTGATGATAAACCATGATAAATCTGATTTTTCCGGTCCGGTTTTCGAGACACATATTTTATTTTGCTTCCCAACCTTCACAACTGACACCAGACTGAGCAGACGAGCATAGACTGTCTGCGATTGGCAAGTCTCACTGGGGCATAGATTTTGGCTCGTGTCTTCCTATGGGCTGAAGATGGTTGAAACTGTTGAAACTCAGCTGCGTTAGGGTCATTTTTTTTCTGATCTCCACAGGTTTCGAACCCAACATGTTGGATGATGTTCTGCCTGTGCCAAGAGGTGGTTATATATATATATGGGTAAATTAAAATAATTCACTAATCTGAAACGAGGCTATTTTGGGATGATTCCCCTTACTAACCTTTAATCCAGTGAGGGAGAACAGTGAGGTCGTTATAATTTACCCTGAAATATATATATATATATATATTATACATGCTTGTAAACCATAACATCATTATAGCACCATGATCTGTCCAAATTTTGTTGCTGGTGGTTGCTCCTAGTGCTAAAACCCAGGCTCCTCCTCCTGATATGACGCGGATCCTGAGTCGAGCAGTTGCGCAGTTACAACCACTAAGCGATATGATGAGGTTGATGGGATGTACATATATCCAACAGTTAAATATATAATAAAATATAATCAAATATATATGTAAAGTGTTACATACTTATCCCGCCGGACCGGAAACCTTTCCCATAAAACGCACATTTTTTTAATTACTTTACTTCATGTGATCCCCACCATGACATTTATACATTTTCTTACTGGCAGATCTCTGGCATTCTTTCTGACATATCTTCTGGCATGTCTTCTGGCATTCTATCTGGCATATCTTCTGGCATTCTATCTGGCATATGTTCTGCAATCTATCTGGCATTCTATCTGGCATATCTTCTGGCAAATGTTCTGGCAATCTATCTGGCATTCTATCTGGCATATCTTCTGGCATATTATCTGGCAAATCTTCTGGCATATGTTCTGGCATATCTTCTGGTATTTTATCTGGCATTCTATCTGGTATACTATCTGGCAAATCTTCTGGCATTCTATCTGGCATATCTTCTGGCATTCTATCTGGCATAGCTTCTGGCATTCTACCTGGCATATCTTCTGGCATATCTTCTGGCATATTATCTGGCAAATCTTCTGGCATATCTTCCTACATGAGGTCCGGCAGGGAACACTTGGCGTGGATACTCGCGGTTGAGGTCCGGCAGGGAAACACTGGGCGTGGTTTGGGGGGATGGTCTTGGTTGAGGTCCGCACGGGAACACTGGGCGGGGATGGTTTTCGTGGTTGGGTCCCGGCAGGGAACACTGGGCGTGGATGGTCGTGGTTGAGGTCCGACAGAGAACACTGTGCGTCGAGGGTCGCGGTTGAGCAGGAGGAGGAGGAGAGGAGAGGAGGAGAGGAGCAGGCAACTGACATAAAATCTAACAACCGTCACCTGGCAGGTGGGGAAAAAAATGGTGGAAAAACTTGGGGCGCGTTTTTTCGTTTTTCAGCGTCATCGCTGCAACGCATGCGTAGTAAACAGCTGGCAGTCAGCATTCTTGTGAATGCATCTCCATTGCCAAGCTCTCAGAGATCTCAGCAGCGTAGCAACATGTATGTAACGTAGTAAACGATCCCAGAGATCTCAGCAGCGTAGCAACATGTAACGTAGTAAACGATCCCAGAGATCTCAGCAGCGTAGCAACATGTATGTAACGTAGTAAACGATCCCAGAGATCTCAGCAGCGTAGCGACATGTAACGTAGTAAACGATCCCAGAGATCTCAGCAGCGTAGCAACATGTAACGTAGTAAACGATACCAGAGATCTCAGCAGCGTAGCCACATGTATGTAACGTAGTACACGATCCCAGAGATCTCAGCAGCGTAGCAACATGTATGTAACGTAGTAAACGATACCAGAGATCTCAGCAGCATAGCAACATGTAACGTAGTAAATAATCCCAGAGATCTTAGCAGCATGGCAATATTTCATGTACGAAGTACAAGGAACGTTAACATGCCCCCCCACCCCACCCCACAATCGCGATATTCAAAAACGTGCGTTTTACGGGAACGGTTTTCGGTCCGCAGGCATACTTATATACATATATATATATATACATATGTGCATATCATCATATTGTAAATAAAGCAGTATACATAATATTGTACATATATATATGTATAAGATTGTGTATTATATATACACATTGCATTGTGTATATATATATATATGTGTGTATATACACACACCTTCCGCTTCGACTCCTGAAAAGTGGGTAGCGAGATGTAGCGAGACCAAAATCACGGTTTCTTCGGATATGGAAGCTGAAGGCTCAATATATATATATATATAAATTACGGATTACATGATTTAGCAATATATCGGAGCATTAGTATTTTACATGATGTTACCATGAAATGTTGTGGCTGAATTATAGGAATTAACTGGTCAACTGGGTATAATTTCCGTTTCTGACCATCATCAATGATTATGCTGCGGTGAGGTCGTTGCAATTGAGTTCTGCTTGAACGTGCGGGACCAAGGAATGGTACGTGGTTGCTTAACCATTTGGACCTACATACATAATATACAAATACACATATGCTTAGTATTGCTTGGTTAGGATATGCATAGTGGCATAGTATGGCATCATTCTGTGCAAATATATATATATACATATATATATTATATATATAGTATATTATACATGTGATGTAATGCAAAGTTCGTATTCATAAACCAACAGAAGGTCTAAATCTATGAGAAGGTTGTTGTCACCCCTAAACAATGAGAAGCAAAAACAAGAATAGGATTCATGAGATTTAGTAACTCAGTATGAGATAGTACGAGAAATGCATTGAAACCGTTGGTTTTCCATTGGTTTTCCCTTAGTTTTTGAACCCCAAAATTAGGATTTTCCAGAACGGCGTTGTTTAATAGGGGTGACCACCTATGTTGATTAGCAGGGAGGGAACAGCCATCCAAGCAGGCTACCAGCGCGCAGCAAGGTGAGTTGGATGCTTCTCTGTGTTCCTGATCTAGACTTGCAAGACACGGATATTGAATTGGAAAAATATTGCTGTTATGTGTAAAGTAGCGAAATATATAAATAAATATATATATATAATGAATTACCTAGAAGAGGTCCAGAGACCAGTGGAAGAGCAACAGATCCAGCCAGATTCTGCCGGAGGTAGAAGCCTTTGCGGCGAACTCTAGCCGGCAGTGCGCCCAGTTTTTGTTTTTCGATGGTGTATCGCCTTGTGCTGGTTGACCGGAGCACTGCTGGCTGAATTCATTTGTTGCACGTTGGCGCTGTCCATTAGGATATCATTGCCCCTGAAAGAAGAAAGAAAAACATATATAACTAATGATATATATTTTTATATATGATATGTATTATGTCAAGTTAGTTCTGACAACTTTTAGAGGGAACATATGGAAACATCAGGCTTGAAACCCTTGGATGTTGGCTTGTTCCCAATGGATGTCATTGCCGAATTTCGTGGGTATAACTGCCATTAACTGCCATCTACCCTGCATGTCAAGAGTCAATTTTGCGCTCCTGGCAAAGCGCATGATCGAAGGCTTGCAATCAACCTTTTTTCTCTTGAAACACAAGCTGCTTTCCGTATGTTCAGACCTGGGTTGACAATTCTAATTGTGGATGTTGGCAAATTCCGCCCTTTTCTGAATCTGACAAAACCCATGGACAAGAAAACAGAACCATAAGGAAAACACATGAACAAACAAGCTCCTCCACAGCTGTCAAAGCATCGGTTTTTTATTCCCCACCTCGTCCAAGACCTTGGGAGGCTCCTTGAAAACCTGGCCATGGCTGCAATGGTGTCGAATCTCAGAGGCCTCAATGATCTTTAAAGGGTGGTCCTGGGTCAACACAAAGAAACCCAAATCCAACAGGTGGGTTTCCGGCCATGCTTGGCTTTCGACCCGGCCTCTATTTGCTTCCTTCCCCAAACATCCTTCATAGGAGGCCTCGGGGTGCTGGATCGCTTTGGATATCTTTGAATTATGTTTTTACTTTTCAAGAATTTTCAAGATCTGTCTGTGTTTTAGTTGTCGCCGTGTCCGGAGTCCTCCTTGTTGTTTACAACATGAGATGTTGGACTCAGAGAAGGAAAAACACACATTTGCCTCTGATTCTACCGTGGAGAGTCTGTGTTCCTCACCGATGATGGGACCCTAGTGAACCTACCAGTTGTGACTGCAAGATGCTGCCATGTTGTTCCACCCCAGCTAGCTACTTGGGGCATTCCCCCTATAAGCTGGGACATGTTGGGACCTTAGGTAAGACATAACCCCTGTTTGTAGGTAATAATCGTACGGTATCTATTTCCATGGATGGCCATTGCCATATGTATTATGTGTATATATATATGATAAATATGTTGTAATATGTATACAGATGTAATCATAATTAATTAATTGCAGTACATTATGAATGTATGCCAGACCATCCCACATCAATCTTTGTCACAACTGAGGCCAATGAACGGAGGCTCCTCATCCAGCAGCCAGGTGTTTTGCTCCTGGACCCAGGTTACAGGAACCCAACATCCGCGTTCCTGAGCCTTTACAGCCGAAGAATGATGGGCTGGGGACAATGAAGTTTCAAACCATCAACAACTTTAATGTGGTGAATTTGAAAAACATGTTTGGGACGTGGATGAGCAGATTCTTTCAAAATTCATGAACAAAATGGTTTCCCCGGCATGGTGCGCAATGTTTAATTGAAGGTATAGCTACGGAACACATCCCATTTAGTTCGATGATTTATCTATGAAAAACAATTTTTCCACAGCAAACCGTTAAATGACCAGATGGCAGATGTTTTTTCATTTTTTCCGGATCTCAAAACACTGCTGGTGCTGCTGACACACACTGTGAATCCTCGTCGTGTGGCACAAAGCACATTTGCAGCCGGGAACAAGTCACCTCTCCAGGGCTGCAGGAAATTTGGGGATCCAATCGGAAACATTTTCAGTTTGTTGTTCGAAACTTGGGACGCGCAAAAAACCATAGATTCAATCACTGAATGCTTGTAAACTCAAACATACCCTATATAGATTCATAACCATGTCTGGCCGACATTGGCAGCGTTTTGATCTTCCCTTCTTCCACAAAACAGCCGCCTCCTTCGTCACCTCCCAAGCATTGTGGATGACTTGTCGTTGAAGTTCTTTGTCGGACAATATCTGCCTGGCCGCGGATCACTATAGAAAGGAGCAGCTGCGCAACTGGTTGTTGTGCCACATACAGGATCATCGTCTCATGGAGGGGTTAGGTCTGATTAGGTGTTGCTTTTGGCCTCCGGCCTCGTTTTGGGCTACTGACTAGTACAGTTTATTAAATGGTCAGTTTTTAAAGTTTTTGGCCCTTGGCTCAATCATTTTTAGCTGCGTTTTCTGCAAAGGAATAGGGCAACAACTAAAGAGGTGGAAGGGTTCAGCAACAACTGAAGCTGGAAGATTTCATCAACTATGCAACCCAAAAGCTATATAAACAATGATATGGATGCATGTAGAATATGCATCGTATATGTAAGCATTATGGACATTATATTTAATACCTATAGGGTCTTATGCAAATACACTTTACATGGTATGATATGAATTATCTACCCAGTTTTATCTACATCCATCAGTCTAAATCTCGGATATCTATTCATATCTAACCAAATCTAAATGCATCTATCTAGATTTACCCTGGCCTACCTATACCTATCTGCATCTATCTAAATCTATCTGTGTCTATCTAAATCTATCTGCATCTATCTGTATTCATATCTCTCCATATCAATACATATGTATCTTTGTCGACCTGTATCTATGTATCTATCTATCTATCTATCTAACTATCTATCTAACCTAATCTAATCTAATCTAATCTATCTATCTATCTATCTATCTATCTATCTAGTCTGTCTATCATGTCAAACTACCTATCTATCTATGTATCTATCTATCTATCTACCTATCTATCTATCTATCTATCATTCTATCTATCTATCTATCTATCTAATCTAATCTAATCTAATCTATCTATCTATCTGTCTGTCTATCTATCTATCTATCTATCCATCTATCTATCTATCTATAGATCTGTCTATCAATCCATCTATCTATCTATCTATCTATCATTCTATCTATCTATCATTCTATCTATCTATCATTCTATCTATCTATCATTCTATCTATCTATCTATCCACCTATCTACCTATCTATCTATCTATCTAGTCTGTCTATCATGTCAAATCATGTCATTTCAAAAAACATACATCAAAAAGGACATATGTCATGTCATATCATTTAATGTCACATATAAAAAACAAATATTATACACAATAGATGCATGTATTTAAGTATATATATAGAGTACATGAACAGTGTTTAAAACCCTTCGTCGTCCCCTTTTTTAAATTGGGTAATGAAAATTCTTATAATGGATTGTGAAAACTCCCGAAATATATGTATATACATAAATAAATATATATATATATATAATATATATATATATATAATTGGGTAGCATGATACAGTACAATCATTAACCAACAGGGGCTTAGCAGCCACTGCCCGATTGAATAAATCATGTTGAATCCCAAGTTCTTGTTAGTTAAATCATATCAAATCACCATTTTCGGTTGCTTAAATCACCAAGCCCAATACAGGCAGGTCTCGCCCTCCGCGCTCCACAATCTTGTCAATGATCTCAGCAACTGCCTCCATGGGAAGGGAGGCATGCGGCGCCTGCAGGGCCCAAGGTTGGTTGAAGGTGTTGGGTGCTTTAGAAGCTATATCGACTATGATAGGCAACTATGATAGGAAACAATGATTAAAGATAGGTAAAATAACTACTATAGGCAATAATGAAAGGTAACTATGATAGGTAACTATGATCGAAGGAAGTTTAGAAGTCAAACTTCCAACAATATGGACAGATAAAAAAGCAGAGGTGGGAAGAGCCAGAGATGAGAAGAGAAGAAGATAGAAGATCAGAGGAGAAAAAAGGTCAGAAGAAAGAAGAAACGTAGAAAAGTCGCAAAACACTCTGTTTTTCCAATGTTTTGGGACTCCGGAGGGTCGAAAAGTAGGCTTGCTAAAGCGGCGGGTGCGGAGCCATCTGGGGAGATAAGAGATGAAAAATTGCACGCCGTTGTGACACGAAGCACATTTCGAAGTCAAAAGTGTAAAAAAAAGACGGTCTCAGACCACTTTTGGAAGTTGAAATGATGAAAAAGCGCACGCCGTTGTGACGCGAAGCACATTTCGAAGTCAAAATGTACAAAACACCACATGTTCGGACCACTTTTGGAAGTTGAGATGATGAAAAATTGCATGCTGTTGTGGCACGAAGTGCATTTGAAAGTGAAAATGCTAAAAGCGCAACATGTTCGCACCACTTTTGGAGCGGGTGTGGAAAAACTGCGCGCCGTTGTGGCACGAAGCATATTTCGAAGTCAAAATGATAAAAGCACACCATGTTCGGACCATTTTTGGACGTTCAACCGCACACAACGACAAGGACAAGGACAAGGACAAGGACAAGGTCCAAGGACAAGGTCCAAGGACAAGCACAAGCACAACAACAACAACAACTACTACTACTACTACTGCTACTGCTACTGCTACTGCTACTGCTACTGCTACTGCTACTAGTGCTACTAGTGCTACTAGTGCTACTAGTGCTACTAGTGCTACTAGTGCTACTAGTGCTACTAGTGCTACTAGTGCTACTAGTGCTACTAGTACTACTAGTACTACTAGTACTACTAGTACTACTAGTACTACTAGTACTACTAGTACTACTAGTACTACTAGTACTACTAGTACTACTAGTACTACTACTACTACTGCTACTACTACTACTACTACCACAGCTACATCTACAACAGCTACAACTACAGCTACAACTACTACAACTACAACAACTACAACTACAATAACTACAACAACTACAGCAACTACAATAACTACAACAAACAGTGTAACAACTACAACTACAACTGCAACTACAGCAATAGCCAACGTCTACAACTACAACTACTACAACTAGTACAGCTTCAACTACAACATTAGAACTACAACTACAACTACAACAACAGCAACTACAGCTACAACTACAACACAACCACAACTACAACTACAACTGCAACTGCAACTACAATTACATTGCACTACACTACACCACGCTACATCCAGCAGTTGTGGTTGAGGTGACCACTGCAACCATTTCAAAAAGCACAACTCCAACTATCTTTCGGTCCATCAGTGGATTCGCTCTGCCATCCATGCATCACAACAACTCACCTCTCCTATAGTGTCCTATCTTTGAAACTTCCGCCGCGGTACTACTGGTAGGTAACTATGATAGGTAACTATGATTAACACTGATGGGTAACTATGATAGGTCACTATGATAGGTAGTAACAATGATAGGTAACTATGATAGGTAATCACGATAGGTAACAATGATAGGTAACAATGATACGTAACTATGAACAATATCAGCTATTCAATTCATATCCTGCTTGGTTCATTGGGAATTTCAGGATCGTATCAGGCCAACTATTTTGTGGGGATATGCCCTGCAATTTTAGCCCTGAAACGCAAGCCTTATCTATGTTAGGTATCTCCAATTTAGGTACCTGAAATGGCCATTGGTTGGTGGTTTCAGCCCAGTAAGGTTAGTAAATAGATTATAGCCCCAGTGAAAATCATAGTGGGGATTTCACACAAGCAATGTATCTGCAATCGACGGCTCCATATCTAGCTTAGTACTTCAAACTACAATCAGCATGTCCTTTTGGCTAATCAAAAAAAGGCACCCCAGCATCCATTAAAACGTGTCATGCGTTGGTCAACATTTAGAAGCCAAGGAAAAGCCAGATTTTGGTCCTGGTTTTAATATTATCATTGGATGGGTTTCAGGGAACAGTTGCAGGAACCCCCCATGGTTTCCCATTTTCCTTTCAACCAATCTAGTGGGAATCCCATACCCCTAATATTCAATCATGGTTTACTAGGAGATTTACATATTTGGGACCACATTCATTGGGTGCGTTTTTTTTTTCAAACGGATGGGATGATATTGACATCCAGCCATGGGGCGCACCTCCATTTCCTCTGGCGCTTCCTCCATGGTTAGCATTTCTGGCAGAAGCGAAACACCCTGCGGCGGGACAAACATCCGCCCGATGTCTCCCGGAGGCGTCCGGCATCTCCGGCACATTGGGTCAATTGACATGGTATATGTCACATCTGGTCATCCCACCATCAAGGAATCCTCTAATGATGGTGGGATATTTATATATATATATTTATAGTACTATACACATATAAAGTACACCATATTACTGTAATGATTAAGGATTCTCACCATCCACTATATATAGTACTGTAGGCATTTCCCTCTTAATCCTCTGGATGGATGACCATCCCCTAATCTGGGACATATCTTACTGGTAAAATGTGTCATTTTTTGCTGGTTCACTCCCACGGCTTCTTGACTAGATCTTCCACGTTTTTGAGAATCTCGAAATCCCATCTTTCACCAAGCAATCAGACAGATCACCATGTGTACCATGGTCAAAGCACCTTGGATATGAGATGATCATCCAACTATTAGTTGGCACTGTATACAGTATGACTTCCCCCAATATCGATATACAAAAATCTTGAGTTTGATATGTCTAATGCGCTGGAATTAGAGACAACACATCACAATACTGTAGCATCCAAGCTCACCCACCTGTCAGAAAATACGGGCATTCCCTTCTGGTAGATTGACATAGCTATGGAACAGGGCCCATTGAGTTTGATGATTTAATATGATTTACATGAATGACCTCTGAAAAATCGTGGTTTTCCATGGCTATGTTCACTGGAGGATACACCCCAAGTTTTGAGTCATCCCCAGCTCCGGGACCCTGGGGTCATCATCTTGCTGGGACGGCCAAGCTCGGCGCGCGTGGCATGTCAAGTGAAACTGGAGCCAATTTTTGCGGAAAAGGGGAGGATGTCAGGGTGATTTTTAGAATCATCTAAACAAACAATATATAGAACGATTAAATTTAATAAATATATATATATATATAATCATGTATATATATATAATGACTGTAATATGTATATATATATATATAAGAATAATAACAATAATTATTATATTAATTAATTATTATTATATCATCTAACCGCAACCAAAAACAACATGCTGAGAAATTTCCAACACGTGTTGAACATGTGGGTGTAACATACTTTTATATGAAGTTCTTCTAGACTTACTAGACTGATGATACCAACAAAAGATGGCCTGGACATGGTTGGACTCTACTTTCTGGTTGATATGAATTCCAAGAAGGCATACTGAAGTGTTGTGGTAATCCAAACCACACCAAGCTTTGTCAGACAAGCCTTTTACAAAAATCAACCTGGAAAGGTTGATATTTCTGGCACTCAATTCGAAGGCCCCGGCCATGCTGGGAACATATCCGGAGCCAACACGAATTGACATGAGACACCTAGAACTTTCTCCCATACTTGGCTTCATGGTGAATAATGATGAAAAATGAATAATAAATAGTGTATGTCACACCAAAATCCTGAAACATCCAAACATGTTCAACATGTTCATTCACTGCAGCTTTGATCTCTTGTCTCAACGCTTAGGTGGTTCTCAACAACTACCCAACGGTTGGACCTGAAGTTGTTTGAATGGCTTTTTCACCCAGGAATCAACTCCTCGAATGCCTTCAAACATCTTCAAACTTTGCAAATATCATACTGTACCATGCACAACTGGTCCCAGTGGTATTATTTTCTATCCCAAACCCAGCTGCAAACAAAAAATGTGTCGAATGCAATCCGCCCTCAACATCTGCCGACATTTTTGGCCACCATTTCGTCTGTCCTTGAGCCACCGATGTTTGGTCCTCCTTTTCACCTTCGTCAAGTGACCTCCAAGCCCCTTGGTCCTCACCCGTGATCACCTCCCATCACCGAGCTGATGAGAAGCGACTGATGCACTGGGCGAGTGATGATCACGGCCAGAATCAGAAGATCACGGCATCGGCTGAAAGTGATGATCTTGCGAGCCAACTCTGTAGCTCATTGATATCCAGTGATGCTTCCGTCTGTCGACTCTGTTGGGATGGGACAATCAGTGAGTTGCCATCAGTGTTGCTCCTGAAGGTGTCTGCCTGAAGTGGGCTTCAACTGGTGGATCTTTGCACATGCAAACCCCAGCCCCGCAGTTTTGTGAGGACGGCACCGCAACGAATGGCTGGAAATCCTCTCAATGAAATCGCTGACATGTTCTTGGAAACAAATGAAACAATATGTTGAAGTGGGAAGTTCCACAGGAATACACAAGAACATCCAAGAAAAAACACATTTGATTGGTGGTTAAGCCACCTACAACAAAACAATTGCTGGTCAATTCTGACCATCTTCCTATTCCATGGGAAGGACGCTCACTGAATATGAGTGAACCCACCAATTCACCGACGACACATGCCCATTATATTATCATGATATCCACTTATTTCAGCGCATATAGCCCCTCTTTTACTTGGAAATATATTTGGGTATGGATCAATACCTATTAATACCATTTTTAGGGGGATGAACATCCATTTACCAGCTATTTTGATGTTCACCAGGGGTACAAGGTTTTGACACACTGCCATTTTAGTTTGGTGGACCAGTAGACCAGTAGCTCAAAATCCCATGACCTGGAAAACCCAGCTCCACCCTGCCAGTGTTTCGCCCAGGTTGCCATCATTTCCGCACTGGGCGGTCTGTCAGGCGGCGGAAGCTCCCGCAAACGTCGCTGTGCTGCCAGCTGAGGGCCAGACGGTTCCACCAGACCCGGGAGTGGCGGTTGGTTCGGTGGCGCGGGGACTTGCAGTTGGCGCTGTCTGGTCTTAGGCAAATCAAACCTGGGACCCCCAAAAATTGGGGACCAGAAGCCAAAAAGGCGTAGATGTAGAATCATGATGAATACTTAAGATTCACTATATAATCAGTTGGGTGATTCAAACTCTGCTATCTTTGTCTTCGATGAACACTGAGCAAATACCATATCAATGGGAAAATAAACATTCCAAGACAACAACTATTTTGATATTCAGCAGGGTTCCAAGATTTGACCAAAAGACAAATAGAGGTTTGGCTTTGATGCTTGTCATTCTTTTAATCTTACTGCAAACGGTCCCAATGCAATATACGAATCAATAATTTTAAGCCAGGCCATACCTATGATGTTATTCATATATTCCAATTCATAAATTTCAATGATTTTGGGATAGTCCTCCCGACTTCGGGGGTGTTGAACATAGAAATCTTTCAATCCACCAACCACAGAAGGTATACGTATACCCATCCTGGAGTAGATGTGACATTGGACCACCTCTTTGGTCAAGAAACTGTGACATCTGTGGTTCCAGAGCACTCAAAGGCTTCAAACCTGAGAATTCAGTGGCAACGGGAGATGGACCAAATGGCTGTTCGTCTTGTGGCGGAGGAACTGTCTCTGTTTGGGTTGTCTGGTCAACTGATAGCTCTTGGCAGAGTTTTGGCTTGTCAGCTTGAAATTCTTCAGGAACCTGCTTCCCTTCTGGTTTCTGCTCTGGAATCTCTTCGGACTTCTCTTCTTCTTGCTCTCTCTGCTTTTCAATATCTTCGATCTCCTCCTTTTCCTCCTCGTCCTGCGCTTGAAGCTCGGGTTCTTCCATCTTCTCTTCAATCTTATCAGGCTCCTCTGCTTGAGTTGGCCTGAAAGTATGGTACCTCATTCAATCCCGTGGCTTCAAACCCAATGTTCCCCATTGTTTAGTGGACATAGATTCACGGTCCCCCATTCTTGGACCACCCCCATTTGTTTCCTCAAACCTACAGTGAGGTCTTCAACAGTGGAACATCATCATTTCTTCCCCAAAACACACACAACAAAAAAAACACCTGGATCTTCAAACGTCAATTTATTTTTGGTTGCTGCGGTTGTTGCACACTTTTGTTCGGAGTCGACCACAAAAAGTGGTAGTTTACCAAAACGATTGTTTTTTAATGTTTTTGGAAGAACTGGCATCAACACACACCAATTTGTCGAATTTGTGATTTTGTGGCCCAGAATGCCTTAATCCTGCAAAAAAAACTCTGGACCCCAGTGTTGGTTTTAACAATTCTCTTATAGATGTTTCCATTGTGTTTGGTTTTCGCAGGTTTGTTTCCAAGAGAGGTGACGACAGAAAACACCTGAAAAGATGCTGCAAATCCTGAATTTAAGCAAGAATCCACGACTAATTTTGCGTTCAAAACGCCTACAAAAACTTTCAAAACGCTAGCAAAACCCATCAAACGGCTACAAATCAGGAAAAGTGGGTCAAATGTGTTTTTTCTGATCCTGCCGTGGTCGTGCCCGGTGGTCAATAACTCCTTTTTGAATTTGGATTTGCACTTCAGACGTTGGACGACAGCTATGGTCAAAGTTAGGCGCGCTACCATGTTTCCAAATCCCAAAGAAAAACAAAAAAACATATGCTGACATATATAGGCCTCATCGCCATTGCAACCGCATAGCTGGCTGAATCCACAGGACCATTTTTTCTGGAAACAACCAAATCGCCTACTTTTTCGGGAAACGCCTAGTTTTAGTAGTACAAATCACATCGTCCAGAAATTTCTGGTAGAATGAAGGTCCAGGCACATAAAAAAAACATTAAAACAACACATGTTTGGTCAAACAAAAAAAACGTAGCTTCCTCCTGCTGCTCCTCCATCTTTTTAGCTTCCTCCCGGCTCCTACGGCCCAGGGCCGGCGGCTTGGGCGGTTTCCGGATGGCTGCGCCCGGCGCCGCGCGGATCAGCGGCGGCAGCGCGGGGCCGGAGCCGTAGCCGGTGCCTTCGTCGCGATCCAACGCGCCGAGGAGGTCTTGGTGATGCTGCAGGCATTCACCCAACTGACCTTGGCGGTTTTTCTGGTTGCTGGTGCAATGTGCCCATCTTGAAACATGTGAGTGAAAGTCAATGGGGTTGGGATGACATCCCATATATATGGAAAATAAAACATGTTCCGAACCAGCAACCAGTTTTTGTTGGGTTCTTTGGGGATTGATATACCGTCTTGTCGATACCTGTTCCAAAGCATTTAAAGATGAGGGTTTGGCAATGTTTGGCATTGGTGGGTGCTCAAAACAAATCCTAATATTTGTTGGTGAATATGGGCTGTGTCACGTCAAACAAACTGCTGTCCTTTTGGTTGATTTGGGGATGGGTCGATACTCAAAAACGACCATCTGAAGTGATGAACATGTACATCAACAACCGGCCGCTTCTCTGGTATAAAAACCTGAGTAGCAAGAGTTTCCCAACTGCGATGAGTTGATTTTTTGCGTGGCATGGTGTTTACTCAGGGTTGCCCCCTAGCCACGCCAAATACAACGGGGGATATCTGGTATAAACAACAATGGCCCCGCTGGTGGCAATGATTTAACTACGATACAAGCGGGGACACAGTAGCTTGGAGCAACCCTGGCAATGTCCAAAAACCCCACAGAATCTATTTCTGTATGGCTTGAATCCAACGACTCAAATGCTCGCGTTGCATCGATTGCATGGCATACTTTTCATCCTTCTGGCGTTCCAAGAGGGACAGCCAGTCTTTGTCCTTTCCAGGCAACTTCCTGGGTGGTGTCTCAACACCCCAAGAAGCATCATCATAGCATTTCTTGGACCGAAAGCAAACACAATATGACTGAAACCACTCACCAAGCGTCCACGTTGAGTTGGGTTTGAAGCCCTCATGAAACTATATGAAACTTAAGTTGAGGTTAAACAACACATCAACATAAGAACACATATCGCAGAATATGGGACCCTCTGGCAATCAAACATAGATACCGGAAAACATAATGCTATTCATAGGGAAGTCATCAAATTACTTCAATGGGCGATGGTTTCCAGTTCGCAAACTGTAAAACTACAGGAATGTACATTGATTATTTCGTGAAACCAATATCAATCATGCAACTTGTTCTGAATTTCAATATGTACATGACTAAATGATATAATCATCAATATTTATCCAATATAATATATATATATAATATAATATATATATATATGTTGTATATATATATATATATATATCACAACATATGGTACATCCATGTTCATCAGCGAGTTTCAATTGCGTCTCTTGTTCCTTCCGGTGTTGCAACTGTTGCAGATGCAACTGCTGCACTTGCAGGTCACTCAGTTGCTGGAACAGACCACCTTCATGAGCAGCTCCTGTTGGAACTGGTGCAAAGAACTGGGTCCTGTTCGGTATATCTACCAGCAAAACATCCATAGATATCATTTTTAGTCACCTGGTGACATAGACATGGCGATGATTTATGGATGTTTATGTTTATGGTAGTGGTAGATATATACCGAACACCACCCATGTGTTATGTGTAAAAATGGGTAAATCATCAACTTTTCATGCATGTTCCCATACAGTAGCAATGTTAGATTACCAAAAGGCACAGGAAATTAAACAAAAAACACTGGCGTGTTCATCCAGCAAAAAATGGGGCACCGGGCTGGATAAAGGTATATAGACAAATATATACAAATATAGTATCTGGTTGGATTATCTAATCCAGCAAATTTGTATGGTCATCCATGTATATTTGGCAGAGGGTTTGTCTCAAATTGGAGATCGCCCAATTTAGATCAGTGTTGAGAAGCATGATAGTCAAACAGTGGTTTTGTTTTGGCGTCCTTAGCCTATTGTCTGGCAACCCAAACTGGCTGAATCAAACTAAGTCCCCAGCCTAAAAGGTTGAGTGATTTGCGGATGATTCCCAAAAATCACCCTGGCCCCAAATCTGCAATGACAATTTCGCAGGATCGTGACACACACACAACTGGCTGATCATTTGCGTTGTCATGAACCCCTTCAGTTCATTAGTCACTGTCACTAAACGGTGCGTAACTACATTTAAATGTATGGATTTTTAAATATACAAACTGGTATTTCAGGCTACCTCCGGGAAGGTTTTCCTTGGTCCGCCCGGCCATTTAAACATATGGAATCCAAATTATTCAGATATTTGACTCTACTGATGGAACTCGTGTTTCATACTACCTCCGGGGCCTCGTGGTCTGACCATGTCTGACCCGCCCTCCACATATTTAAATGTCGTTAACGAAACATATTGGTGACGCATCCCACATCTTGGTTGGTTGACCATACACCATGTGGGGGTTTCCTAAATTGGGGGTACCCCAAAAACGCCGGATGGTTTATTTCAGGGAAAATCCGAAAATCACATGGATGAGAACCACCCAAAAAAATCAGGAAACCTCCATAGAGTTATGAAGTAGTTATGATATGATATCCAATATTTAACCCTGATATTAGGATATAGTAGGATGATTTTCCCATATGATGGCATATTCCATGTCATTGTTTCACAATCCGAAATCAACAGACAGCAGTAATCTTTCATCCCACCTTCTGGTTTCTCACCCGATGAGGATGCCAGTAGATTACCTGGCTTCCATGTGGAAAAAAACAACTCGAAAGTTAATGAAACACACGTATCACATATCATTATAGTTCAAATCTACAATTTCTAAATTGAACAACAAAAACATGAACCATCTCACTCAACCCAAAACAACACATAAAAATCAACAAACAAATCAACAAAACTTCCAGTTTCACCAAGTGACTGGCCTTGGAAATCTCCATGGCCACCTTCGAGGAATCTCCGCGGACGAAGCGCAACTGCTGCGGCCGCTGGGCCAGGGACTTCGTCAGCTCCGCTGGGGACATGAGCGAGGCTTGGGAGCCTCCCACCAGCCAGAGAAGATCTCCTGACGCGATGGGCTTTGGTTGGAAAACAACTTGCTGGTTGGGAAATAGTTAATATGCCCATTAATCCCATACCCATTAATCATTACATATCATACATATCCCAACAAAAACGTACTGGTGCTAAACGTAGGGAATGGATGGGAAAGGGGGAATGGGATGATTATTACTAGTGATGACTGGGATCATTCCCGAAAATTCCCTGCGTTTAGCACCAGTAAGAAAATGATTGGTGATGAAGGGGTAAGATGTAAATTATGTAAATTATGTGATAGTTACTGATAGTTAATAATGGTTAATGGCTGTTTTTGGATACTAGGATAGATCTCTCTCTCTATATATATATATATACATCATACATAAATACTAATCTTAATGAATAGTGAAGGTCAATGAGAAATTATCAATACGATTCAATAAGCATAAATGAGCCATGAAGTTATATTCCGTTTTCCCTTCTCATTATACTGGTTGGTTAGTACATATGCCTATGGGTCGGTTCATAATCCTTAATAAACAACTTCGCATAACCCACAAAGTATATTTAATCCATCAACAGAGGTATATTAAGGGTTCATCTGTGTATGTGTCAAAACATGGTATTCCTTTTATATAGTAATGGTAGTGGTTGTGTGCTTCCTATTGCTGGTATAGATCCCCCAATCTAGGTATAGATAACCCAAGGTTTGACCATGGCACATATGGGTATCAGTATGGGCCAACATTCAAAAAACTCCACTTCTTGTAGTGAACGGTATCTCGTTTTGGGATAGCCTACATTTTGCCCCATTCCCATATGATGTAACAATGACATCATGTTGGCCAAGAAAATGTCTTGGGAGTTTCTTGGATTTTCCTAAAACCTTCTGGTGCAGCTTATACAACTGGAACAATATCTCCAGGACAATGGAGGATCCTGGAAAGACCATCCCAAGCCAACACCCTGAGAATCGTAATGGTTTAAAGATCCCACCATTAAATATCTATAATAGTTATATAGTACATTACTATATCATCATGGTATACTATACCTTGAATGAATCGTTCTTCAACAAAAAAGTACATTTATCATCCCCACCTGAGAATCATCCAGCGCCATGAACCCCCAAACTGCTCCTTCTTTCACTCCGTGCTCATCTGCAATCTTCTTGGGAAGGACTGCGCCAACCACAACCGGTCCCGGCGGCCAATGCTTGGGGAAAAAGCCCAGAGCGCCAGCATCCGCATCAACGTGCACATCGATGATTACCTGGCTTCGAGGAGGCCATTCCCCAATATCTCTGGTAATTTTAACCCCAACTATTGTCTATAGTAATTAGGGGGGTAGCCCCCAAGTCCCCAACGATTGTTTTTTAGATAGTTCGATACTTCCAAGGGAACCCCTCAATAAGAAAAGACAGCCGTTTTGGGGGTTATTCATCCAGGGTTTGACATTTGGTGATGCACATGATCCTCACATATCATGATTTCTGCTTCGCGTTGAAGGGCCACCAACCAAGACATTGGAGTTGGTTCCCATGTTCATCCCTCTCGCTGGTGCTTCTTGTTCAATCTCGGGAAAGTGCATCTTGTATTGCTCTTGTTTGAATCACCTCAACTGTATGTGTTTTTACTGTATATACATATATATATAATATGATATCATCCCAATGCAATGAGTTTGGTTCACACCAAATTGCTTCTTCACTGATATACGCTATTTTTTTCCCTTCATAGTAATTTCTGTACATCAAAAAAATGCGGTTCCACAGATGAAATATGATGACATCATGTATCCCAGATGTTCAGCAACTTTCTGACCTCTCTGGGACTGTCGGACTCTTTTTGTTCCAGGCCAATGGTTCAGCTTGGATTGCCCACTAAGATTATCCCCAAATATTCAGTATCCATATAATTTAATATCTGGTTGGTGGTTGAGCCACCCCTCTGAAAAATATGAGTTCGTCAGTTGGGATGATGAAATTTCCGTGATATAATTGAACATAAATTAAATGACACATACCAGCACCCTCAAAGGGGTGCCTAATGGTTTTTTGATACCTTGATTATACAAAGGGTGCCGTAGGGACACCCCTTAAGAAATCCTATTCTGGAAATCAAGATATTGTGCAATTCCAAGGTCCCATGACACAAATCATAAGGTTTTACTTGCATCATGATATCCTAAATCGATAATGCGAATTGTTCCATTGAATTTATGGAGATGTGATTCTGATAAAATATAACCCCATATCTTGGGATAAAAACCCTCTGCCTCCACGCCCGCCCACATCTCCGTGGCCTTTCTCCACCCCGAAGCTGGCTTCGATCAGGCCAGGCGGCCGCGAGTTGGTTGATTTGTGAAGGTTATCCATCGAAAAAAACATTAGTTGAATCATTATCCCAGCTTTTAGGGAATCAACATGGGGATGTATCCCACAAGCTTTACTTACTGCCAGTGGAAACCTCACAGTGTTCTCAACCATCGGCAGCAACAATAAGCAGCGTATCGCTGCAAAGTTTGGTACCCCATATTTAGAGCTGCAGATCGAATGGCAAGTTGTTTGCACTTGCCAACAAAATCTTCATCGTCATAGGTGGATAGAAGAAACGGGTTCATCACTGGAGCTTGGTCTATTGCCAGATGGTCTATCCTTAGTTCTTCAAATTCCATGAGCGAAGAGGGTAAAAGAAAAACACTTTGGTGTCAACATGGTTAAGCCAAGAGGCTGGTGGATTTTAGGGCGCACCTTCCAAAGAAGGCATTCCATATCAATCGCCTCCCGCGACAGGCCTAAGTAGCCACATGAGTTTTAGATATGCAATCACAGTACAATAGTACAAAAAAATACTTTACTTCGAGTTTTCCCCACCATGACATCTATACGTTTTGTTACTGGCAAATCTTCTGGCATTCTATCTGACATATCTTCTGGCATATCTTCTGGCATTCTATCTGGCATATCTTCTGGCATATCTTCTGGCATTCTACCTGGCATATCTTCTGGCATTCTATCTGACATATCTTCTGGCATTTTATCTGGCATATCTTCTGGCATTCTCTCTGGCATATCTTCTGGCATTCTACCTGGCATATCTTCTGCAATATGTTCTGGCATATCTTCTGGCACTCTATCTGGCATCTGGCATACCTTCTGGCATATCTTCTGGCATTTTATCTGGCATATCTTCTGGCATTCTATCTGGCATACCTTCTGGCATTCTACCTGGCATATCTTCTGGCACTCTATCTGGCATATCTTCTGGCATATCTTCTGACATTCTATCTGGCATTCTATCTGGCAAATCTTTTGGCATATGTTCTGGCAAACATTCTGGCACTTTATCTGGCATACCTTCTGGCATTCTATCTGGCATTCTATCTGGCATACCTTCTGGCATTCTATCTGGCATATCTTCTGGCATTCTATCTGGCAGACATTCTGGCACTTTATCTGGCATATCTTCTGGCATTCTATCTGACATGCTATCTGGCAAATCTTCTGGCATTCTATCTGGCCGTTGAGGTCCAGCGGTGCTCACTGAGCTCGGAGGGTCCCAGGTTGAGGTCCAGAGGTTGAGGTCCAGCAGTGCTCACTGAGCTCGGAAGGTCCCAGGTTGAGGTCCAGCGGTGCCCAGTGCGCTCAGACCCTTGCAGTTGAGGTCCAGCAGTGGCCACCGCGTGCGGAAGTTGGCGAAGAGCTCGGCGAAGAGTTGGCAAGGCGGAAGTGAACATGGAAGTGGAGGCAGAGGTGGTGGAGGAGGAGGAGGAGGAGGAGAAGGAGAAGAAGGAGGAGGAGGAGGAGGAGAAGGAGAAGAACAACTCTGATAAAATCTAACAACCCTCACCTGGCAGGTGGGGAATCATGTTTTCGCAACAACCCTTTGATCTAGCACAGAAAAACCAAGTAACAGTTCAGAGCGCTGTGCAGAAGAAAGTTGGCACGTTGCAGCACTGATACATTGCGAGCAGAAAGGACACATGATTCATTCCGATATCTTGAGACGCAAGATCTCATCGCCACCAGATTCACAAACACAGAAGCCCGGAGCCTAAGCTGACAACCCCTCCTTATTTCTTAAAACATGAGCCTCCCACAAGTTTTTCACACAGCAACTAGTGACTCTGAGGAACGCAGCATGTTCGTTCTCAGGGTGAGCAGCTGCAACGGCCAACGTCACCCCTTTCAACCACTTTGCAAGGACTGTAGCTTCCTAAGACAGGGTATGCATGAGCAGCAGTTTGGCAAACCAGTTAAACCCACAACACCATGTTGACAAGGCACATGAGCAGCAGTTTGGCAAACCAGTTAAACCCACAACACCACGTTGACAAGGCACAGCACCATTAAAGTGCTTTTGCACAAGAGTCGGAAAGTTGCCTCTGCCCAGTGGGTACATTTGTTTCCTCGGCTTTCGCCGCGCTAGGACTTCAACATCCCCAACTAACCCGCCGAGAAACACTGTGAAAATCTGTCCGCGGTTTCCTGAATGCAATTTGCCCACCCCCTCTTGAGTGCACACAAATAGGAAATGCTTGAGGCTTGCAAAAAACTAATACCCCTGCTGCAAAGTCTCTTACCCGGTGCTTTTTACATTCAGCAGTAAACTGAACAAATGCCATGCGCAAGCGTTCATCTTGACTGTCACCCGGCCATACGCTGTCATCCGATGTGAGTTCAATAAGGGCCTGGGATTGTGACGAAGCCCCAGCAAAAACAACGAACATGCTCTTTGATTTTCAAATTGAAAACAACCCAAATCGAATCAAGTCACACTGGCACTGACTTCTGGGATCAGCGACAAGTCCACAAGGTGCAGCCAATCTGCCAGCACCCTCTCCACGTCAAACCCTGGTAATCGTAACCAGCTGTTTGGCCGACAGCCCCTGTGAAAGAAAAAGTCATTTGTAACCAAAGTTGATCGATGGGGTGCACTGGGTCCAAAAGATGTATAGACCAACTCTCCAGTTGATGTTGCACGGCAGTACATGCAAACCTGATCCGATGTTGCTGAAGTGTTGAGCTTTAATGCTCGCTGAAGGAACTTTTGGTCACCCTTCAGGGCCACCCACACACCAGTGTATTTCCCACAAATTCTGCCACTCTTACCCCTAGCCCACGGGCGACCATAGATATCTACGTTCATGAACTCGCCCTCTTGCAATTCACACAATCCAAGAACTACCCAGCTATCGAGCACATCATAGGTCTCAGGAAGGACCCTGGATGTGTCTACAATGTAGAGCAACACCCTCGTGTCCCATGAGCTTCTTGAAGGGGCTAAAGGACTAGCAATCGTAAAGCAGCAAAAAGAACGTCTACGATGGCTGTCTGCATCATCACCGTGACACAGGATTGGGAAATAGGTCTCCAGGTCAATGTCCTTATGAAACTGCAGTAAATCTTTTGTACTAAAAACAAGGCTATTGACGCACATCAACTAATGCAAGCCCAGGCCACTGGCTTGGAAAGAATTGGATGGGATTGGAACCAGCGCGTGCCCTTCTGGGCATCCCAAAACTTCTTCAAGGCCTTAAATGCAAACGCGTTGGACACCTTAACATGTTAGTGTCTTGAGGTTTAGTTGATCCAAGCTGCCCCCGGGGGACCAAGCCAACGTTCTCGAAACAGAGATTCGTCATAAGAATACATAGCGTGGATCCTAAGGAAGGAGATGGTTGAAAGGACTACTGTAATCAATAGTATGCACAGTGCACACCACCAGCAACCACCATTTGGTCAAGAAACGCATCGCTGGGGAGGAACATATGCCAGGTGCTGAGGTGATGAGGGTTCAGTAGGCGCTCATCTTTCATTAGCACATCCACCCTCAGCGCATCAGTGCAATCACAAAAAACCTTTTCAACTTCCAGACGCACAAAAAAACGCAGTCAAAAAACTTCATTGGTTGAGGCAGCATTCTTCGCCACCGTTGTTTGTTCAACCATGCCCAGAACTGCCGGCCAACGTTTTTGGTGTCAGTCTCGTCTATGGACACGAGATCCTTGAGATTTTTCCTTAGGATAGCACATCCCCATCATTAGGAGATTCTCATCCATTGAATTTCAACTAGCTGTCGTGCCATTGACTCCAGGAGTCGGAAGGTACCTCCCAGGGATCCGTTTTCGAAGAACCCGTAGAAATTCGACCAATGTAGTCACACTTACCTCAAGGGTGGTAGGTCGAAGGTAGGATATGCTTGAATGTAGTGTAATGTAGCTGACACTAAGTAAGCAGCAGCTTGACCCAATGCAATTAAGATGCATTTTTTCCAAGTTCCAGAAACTCTTCCACCAGGTCCATGGAACCATCAGGGTGACGTTTGACCCATTATTTAATCCCATCCCCTAATTTTACGCACCTCCTAACTAGTCCTATATGTGGTATATACTAAACCAGAGGGGTGTGTAATATTCGGGGGATGGGATTACTAGCACACTGCTGGAAACAACATGTTCATGACCCAGAGCTTGGTTAAAAACCGAACTGAACACATATACATATTGTCCACCTTGATCCATTTTCGAGCATGCACAAATTTGATGCATGGCTAGTGTGTAAAGCCCACAGGACATGTAGAGTCTTCAAGATGGAAACATTGAATATCACCCATGTGTTTCCCCTCCAGCAAAGTTCACTGGTCAACGCGGCTAGTGTTCTGATCAGAACATCTGCCACGACGCAGGCCCAAATTGGCACTATTCGGCAATAAGTCGGGCAACCCAATGTGTCGCCACCCACAAAATATTTTCAATTACCCCAGGTACTTGGGTCCCATCAAGAACATATCCTTTCTGGTTGCCAAGAGAAAAGCACATAATAATTTCATTGATACAGGAATTGGGGACTCACCACTGGGGATATCTACGATGTTTGGTAACCATTGCACTGCTGAAAATTGGCAGCAGCATGCGATGGTCTTTGCTACCCCCCAAAACCAATAATTGATTGACCAAACCATCATATCCAAACAAATCTTTTTTATTCAACCAGGCTCCATGGGGTAGCAGTTCGGGGAAGTCAAAGCGCTGCAGTTGATGGATCCAACCAGAACTCAGTTGACAGTTGATAACGTGTTGAAACATCACTAAGGGTTGAATGATCCATCTCCGGGGTCGGTCGCAAGTGTAGCAACAGTTGGCCACACACGAGCTGCAACACGTATTTTTAAGAACCAGCTTTGTTGCACATTTTTTGAACAATTTTTAACAAGTTGAGGGCTAAAATTACATCAACTGATTTGAGCACTTAAGCTGATTCCTCAACATCATCCTCATCATCAGATGATTGGGCGACCTGCTGAGCAACTCTTTTCTTGGGACCTTTAGCTGCACTGATCCTACGCTTTGCATCACGGATATCCACATCAACGGTAGCAGCAACCTTCTTCTCGGCTTCAAGAAGGGAAGTAAACTCCTGGGCAGTGATCTCAGAGGCCTTTTTGTTCGCATACTCAGAGACACGGGCCATCGACTCGCTAGCGGGCCCTCTGTGGGCATCAAGCGATGCCACCTGGGACGGAAAGGATATTTAACTTACTAATATTCTTGTTGTGTTGGCATCCATTATCCACCAAAGGTATCACAGTGCAGAATAGCCACCAACTCAGATGAATTTCGGCAATTGTATGCAGTGAGACCGCGTGCACAAACTGCCAGGTCATCCCACATCTGCTTCCACCTAAGATATGGGGCCAATGTTTAGAGGAAATAATCCCGTAATAATGGTGCATCTATCCCACTTCCCCTTGACCATAAAAGAAATATAACATGGTATCGTTGATGTACGTCAAAGAACTTCTTCTGGAGTTTCTTCATATCAGCTAAGCATTCCTCTTCCGGGGTTTTTTCTTTCTTGGCTTTCTTCGATTTGATCACCCCCGTGGTTGTGTTGAAGAATGCCACATCAGTATTCAGACCACCAAGCTGTTTGCTTAGGAGTCCCTTGGCTGCGGCCTCTTTGACACGTCCCGAAATGCTTGCCTTAGCTAGCAGAAGACCCCATCACCCCATGGAATCAGGTGTTTCTCTCCACAACATTGAAGTTTAAATCAAATGAGGTTCGGAGCTGGTGGTTTGAGATCCCGAAGAGTTCTCTTCAAGAACCTCTCGAAGCACCTTAAACATTCTTGCCTTCTTCACGTTGGGCGCCTGACGTCTCAGGCCAGAAACACCAGCAGCTCAAGACAAAGCGAAGCACACCGTGCCTGGGGGTGTGGCACCCCAGTCTGTCCTTGGAGAAGGGGATGGCACAGAAGGGAAAAGGAACAAATGAAAAGTGCCATCATAATCATCATAATCATCATCTTCATCATAATCATCATCACCACCATCATCATTACCTCTAATGGGATATATCAATAATATATATATATTATAGAATAATAGAATCAGAAGTATCACAAATCTAATGGCATGGGGGAATATTGTCCAAGATTCCACGGCACAGCTCTTCAATGAACTTCTTGGCCTCCGTCGACTTCCCGTAGATCTTCTCCAACTGCAGCATCGTTACCTGGGAATATATTATAGTGGGTATAGATAGTAAAGATTCCAAAAGTCACTGACCAGCATATATGAGGCCTGTACCGTAACGTAACGGTCTGTGCGAAGGTTCGCAACCCAACTTCTGTATTTTTCTTCTATTTCGATCTCCCCCAAGTCCTGGTTTTGCACCCAGGCTTTCAGCATAGAAAACCTAGGCTCAGAACCCAATGGGGCAAATGGATGTTTTTGAAAATCATTCGCTTAATGGTACGGAATGGTATGGATATGGGATCCCCTTAAGCCCCCAAAATATTTAGGCCCAGAAACCTTTCTTTGTCACTAGCCAGGGAGAATTTAGCAACTAGCTCCGGAGATGCTTCTTTGATAATGGCACGACGCAGGGCAGCGTACTGCCTCTTTCTTTCCTAAGCTTCGTCGGAATTTGGAAAATCAAAAATCATTTCGAATCCTGTGGGTTGATATGGTGATGCTAGGGCCGAGTGTCTGAACGGTCCATGTCACTCGGCTTCTGCATCTGTTGGATCTTCTCTTTTTCCTCTGCGGAAAGGTCCTTGAGGCGTGCTACCCTCTCGGTAGAAGTAGGTGGGCTCGTAGGAGCTTCCGACCCCCCAGCACACAAGTCACTTGTTTATTTTGAGGCGATCTCCCCCCCAAAAAACGAACTTGTTTTAAAACAATTGATTGTTCCGAAAATGTCAATACAGTTAGTGCGTGGGTATGCCTGGATATATTCTTGGGGCATGTGATGTGCAACCTAGAGGCCTGTTCAGAAGCAAATAGCTGCCGACGGCATGTGTCCGGGGTGGCCACAAGGTCCAAGCTTGCCAAGGTAGAACACTTTTCCAGCAGTAGCTCCTGCCAACAGCCGTTTGGGATTATGATAAGATAGATGGGGATAACTCTTACGATGAAAGTATAAATATTGGTGGGATGTGGGTATATAAAAAAGAGGTCAACCCCAGATTTGTTTTGAAAAATGAGAAAATCCATTTGATATTAAAGTTCATGTTGACCCAACCCTGAGCCCATAATCATAATCCTTGCTGTCCGCTGTTTTGATAGCTTTCCTTTCTTGGTTTCCCTCTGGCTCCAAAGCTTTTCTCTTCAAAGTCTCAATCTTTTCACCCTTTGGCTTCTTGGAAACATCTTCACCAGTGCTTTCAGACTTTCGCTTCTTCTCTCCATTCTCCTTCTCACCTCCCTGCTGGCTGGAAGTGGCTGGGCTGGGCTTGCTTTGCTTCCTCTGTCGGTCCTGTCTGTCTTCTTCTGCTCTGAGCCAGTGATAGAAGCATGTCAATTCATCTGGCGCATCCATCTTTCCAAATTCACCTGGCTTCAGACCCTCCACTTTTCTGAAGGTTTCAAACTCTGGATGCTGTATGGCCTCGGCAATGGCAACGAGCAACTGCGAGTTAGACATGTGTTGGAAGTTTCGAGCGGACTGACTGCCCGAAGAGCACAACGTCTTCTCCTCTTCTGCGGTCTTCTTCGCCTTCTTCTCCTTTCTCTTGCTGGGCTTGTCAGCTGCGTCTTGCATTTTGGTTGCCTGTCCATCTTGGTTGCTGGAACTGGCTGGGCTCGGAATCTTCTCCTCGGGCTTCTTCTCCTCAACTTCCGGCGAAATGGTTGGGCTGGCTGGTTTCTCCTCCTCTGGGGTCTTCTTTGCTTTCTTCTCCTTCTTGCTGACCTTGTCTCCTTTGTCTTTCTTCTTTGCATTTCCATCATCTGCCTTGTTGGAACTGGCTGGGCTCGGAATCTTCTCCTCAGGCTTCTTCTCCTCAACTTCAGGCGAAATGGCTGGGCTGGCTGGCTTCTCTTTTTCTTGGGTCTTCTTCGCTTTCTTCTCCTCCTTCTTGCTTGCCTTGTCTTCTTTGTCTTTCTGCTTCGCCTTTCCATCTTCTGCCTTGTTGGAACTGGCTGGGCTGGGAATCTTCTCCTCAGGCTTCTTCTCCTCAACTTCAGGCGAAATGGTTGGGCTGGCTGGTTTCTCCTCCTCTTGGGTCTTCTTTGCTTTCTTCTCCTTCTTGCTGGCCTTGTCTTCTTTGTCTTTCTTCTTCGCCTGTCCATCTGCGTTGCTGGAACTGGCTGGGCTCGGAGTCTTCTCCTCAGGCTTCTTCTCCTCAACGTCGTGCGAAGTGGATGGGCTGGCTGGTGTCCCTTCGTCTTGGGTCTTCTTCTCTTTCTCCTTTTTCTTGCTGGCCTTATTTTCTTTGTCTTTCTTCTGTTCCTTGCCATCTTCTGCCTTCTGGGAACGGGCCGGCGTCGGAATCTTCTTCTCTGGCTTCTTCTCCTCATCTTTGGGCGAAGTGGTTGGGGTGGCTGGCTTCTCTTCTTCTTGGATCTTCTTTGCTTTCTTCTCCTTCTTGCTGGCATTGTCTTCTTTGTCTTTCTTCTTCGCATTTCCATCTGCCTTGATGGAACTGGCTGGGCTCGGAGTCTTCTCCTCAGTCTTCTTCTCCTCAACCTGGGTCGAAGTGGATGGGCTGGCTGGCTTCCCTTCCTCTTGGGTCTTCTTCTCTTTCTTCTCCTCTTTCTTGCCTGCCTTGTTTTCTTTGTCTTTTTTCTTCACCTTTCCATCTGCTGTCTTGTTGGAACTGGCTGGGCTCGGAATCTTCTCCTCAAGCTTCTTCTCCTCAACTTCAGGCGAAATGGTTGGGCTGGCTAGTTTCTCCTCCTCTTGGGTCTTCTTAGCTTTCTTCTCCTCCTTCTTGCCTGCCTTGTCTTCTTTGTCTTTTTTCTTCGCCTTTCCATCTGCCTTGTTGGAACTGGCTGGGCTGGGAATCTTCTCCTCAGGCTTCTTCTCCTCAACTTCGGGCGAAATGGTTGGGCTGGCTAGTTTCTCCTCCTCTTGGGTCTTCTTTGCTTTCTTCTCCTTCTTGCTGGCCTTCTTTTCTTTGTCTGCCTTCTTCGCCTTTCCATCTTCTGCCGTCTTCTCCTCAGGCTTCTTCTCCTCAACTTTGGTCGAAGTGGTTGGGCTGGCTGGCTTCTCTTCCTCTTGGGTCTTCTTCGCTGTCTTCTCATTTTTGTTTTTGCCCTCACACTTGGCTGCACTCTCCTCACGTCTTCTCTTCTCTTTCAGCTCATTGTTCAGCCTGTCCTCCTCAACTTCTTTGAGTAGAGCTTGCCTTTTCTTTTCGAACTCGAGGTAGGCTTCTGTGGGTTGAACAGTTGCCTTCTTTGCTCGAATCCTATCACCCTTTGTAATAGCCATTGCTGCTATAGACACAGGTGGATATACCAGTTTCCCCCTGAAGCCCAAAAAGATCAGAAAATACAAACACAAATTTGTTTTCAAGAACCTGTCAAAAAAACCACCCAAAAGTGACACGCAAATGACACGTTTTGTTTTTTTGAAAACCACCCGACACGTTTCCTAAGGGGTGCCAAATGGCCTTAAGGGGTGCCAAATGGTGACCCCTGGTGAACCAAATGACACGCGAATGACACGCAATGACACGCATCAATTTGTGTATTTTCCATCTTCTGAGGCGATTTCTGCAGCTTCCCAATTTTGTCTGGGAAATCAAATTGGGGATCGGTGGTGAGCAGGTCCAAGGTTTTTTAATTCCATAAGATTTGTTTACTTTTTGGGCTAACTCTCCCCATCAAAATTGGATTCCCAATCGCCCAAACCCAGGACCCAAACCACGAATCTAAGTCAATAATCTGGCCAGCTATTGCGTAGTCTCACCCTCGTCCTTGACTCGGTCATATTCGCATCGACAATCTTTGGAGATCATCCGAAGGGGACCATCTTCATTCCTGAGATAGGCAGTGTGACACTATAATATATTAGGACCCCATTTTTGTTGGAATGTACATATATTGTGGGCAATGATAAGCAAGCTAAGATTCGGGATCCACCTGGCTATCATCTCCAGCCAACAGCTAAGACAAATGCGTTCATCTTTCATGGCTTCCAAATGTTGGAGGAGTTCACGGTATTTATCCATACCTATAGGCGAGGGCATGGTCCAATCAACCAGGTACCCCAACAGTTATATACATAAGCCAGTTGCTGCAGATCCACTAGATATAAGCATTCAGTAGGTCGACTGCACAAATTCCAAGAGACATGGGTTTAAGTTTGGCTAGCTGCACTGAAAGAATTAAGGATCACCTTTGTTTTGACAACTGGGCAAGCCCCACAGCTTTTGATGTGGGAAGTTCGCTTAATTTTCTATCGATGGGTGGGCATCCTGTTCCAACTGTTCCATGACCACCCATCATTCGAATTAGCGAAGGGGAACCTAAAGTTTCCTCCACCACGCCCTAAAGGAGCCCTTGCGCAAATCATCAAGGGCCCCCAAATCATCAGTTGCATGTGGATAAGTGAAATCCAACTCAAAATCATCTGGACGAGACCCACGTCCTGGAATAATATCTCCAATTGCAATTCCAAAGCCGCGGGGGTAAGCAGCACTGGCAGCCAGCTTCTTCTTGACGCCGGTCTGCGATCAAGTTAGAAGGAATGTGTTTCAGTCTCATCAATGCCTGATGACACCCTATTTTGCCAGATAACATATAATAAGATCCGATAATGTATATATATCTTATTTGTCAAACAAGCACATGACGAAGAACTCATTCTTTTTTGCAGACAGGTATCCACACGTTTTTTGCCATTCTTGTCCACGCTTTTCCGGACAAGTCCACCAGTGTTAGTCCTGCAAGGTCGACAGACCCGATAGCACCCCAAATCAATAGTGTTCAGAAGGTAAAGATTGGCTATATGGATTTGATAACTGGAAAGCACTTTGCTCTTGAAGGTCAACATGCATGTTGCTGCCAAAATGAGAATAACAACAAGGCATGCATAGTGCCATGTCTTGCAGCAAGGCATGCATCGAAAATGAAGCTCCGAGATTCAAACGACATGGGGCCTTCTTCTACCAAGGGCATGGTGGCACTAAATGTTGGAAAGCAGCTCGTGGTACTCCCGGAATTTCACGGTTGGGAAGTTGTGACTCCAATGTCCAATGTCAAATCCCTCGAGGAGGCCATGACGTGGCACGCAACCCTTGTTTGCTTGTGGGCAAGGTGCATGCAACAACGAAAGTGGAGACATAAGAGCTGGAGGTGGAGAACTTAAGGGTTTTTTTCCGAGAAGTTTGCTAAAGCTAGTTAAACAGGTTTCCCCAATCCTACCCATGTATCCAACCCATGCCGCCCCATTCCTTGCCAAGGCTTCCATAAAGAGCTTTGCGCTGAGTGGACGGTAGAGGCTGCACAAGTTTGGGAGAGTCCCCCACAACCTTGGAGTGGATCGGGTATATCGGTGTATCCATAACTCTTTGGAAAAAGATACCTTTATGCATGCAAGTAACGTTGTTTGTTTTAACGTCAATGCTCCATAAGCTCCCATTGGAAATGTCACCTTCCTGGAACAATGAGGTTCACTCATGGACATGTTGGTTATCTCAGTTACAAAGAAACTCTCCCTCTGTCCTGGCTCGGACATACATAAGAAATCGTCGCATTGGTTTCCAAGCAAAGAGGACCTTAGACATGGTAAACGCCAGTGCACAGCTGTGTGACTGTGCTCATGTGATCATATAATTTAGAAACCAAGTCACTGATGTCATTGGTTGCTCTATGCATTTATGGATTCCCCGCTGGACAGCGTACCAAAGACTCAGTTTCAACCCAGGGATGCAGAGCCACCAAAGGACCCAAATAGCATGCATGCCACAACATGCATGAGCCACACACATGCAGTATCTTTGTGATGCTAGCCAAAGCACATGTACAGCAAACGCATGCAGAATAAGTTGGCCATAGTCACACATCTCGTTGGAAAGCCAGTGGGGTCTAGCCATGTACGACCAGTGGAGGATGAACTCCTCAGATTGCCCCAAGAACAGAAATTATATATATATATAAAACACTTTTAAGCATGTTGCAAAACCTTTGATTTTTTTTGCAGATGAGAAACATAAACACCCAAGTCCCACAGGGAGGTGCTACGAAGAGAAGCCCACCCCTCTTCGTGTTTCTGACCTCAAACTACTAAATTGTTTGCATTCACGCATGCATGCATGTTTGAATTTGTTGACCCATCAGTGGATTGTTGTTCTGAATAGTGACCAAGTAGCTGCCGACAACACTGATACGAAACCGACTGTCCTCATCAAGTCATGGTTTTTGCTGTAGACCACCTCAACTGGGATTTTCATGGGAGGATATATATATATGAGGTGTGAAGCAGAAGTATCACGATTATATTGTGTAACACCATTGTGGGTACCCCAACACTCAGCCGGGTCACGTCGAAAGCCTTTCCATGAAATCCCTGTGACCAAAGTGCTCTGCTCAGCAGGCCTTCGCCACTGCACACCTCTACCTCCAGGCATCGGCAAAAGGCACAAGTCCATGGGGGCTGCAGCTGCCGAAATCTTTGGGGTGGGGACTGGTGAGATTTATTTTACCCAGAATATGTCTATAAACTTAGAACTTTTCAGTGGTTCCCCGTTCTATACTCAAACTTTGCTCGAACCCAGCCATGAAAAAAAGTTAATATAAACTTTTTTGTTGACAAGGAAACCCAAATAAGCTACCTTACTTGAAAAATCTTTGGTGGCCCCAAGATAAGAGCATTGTCTGGCTGCACCAAACCTTCCCCCCAAGTATTTCAATATACCGTGGAACTATGGGACATCGGACTAATGCAGTCAATGTGCAAAGTCATTTGCAAGATGTTGGCTCGGCAGTGGCACTTGCGAAAGCCACAGCAAGATGGCAGTAGCTTCGCTGGATTCATGGCTGGATATTTTGGGGTTTGGTCCATATAAACCTGAGATCAAACATCAACCAAAGTTTTATCTCAAGAATGTCTCATCAGACCGTTCCCCATGTCAGCATGCACTGGCCCAAGACTCAACAGCACCATGGCCCCGATGCGCAAGGCTTACCAGCAAAGCACCTTTGTTCTGGGCACGATCGAGGCAGCTGGCGCCGATCATGATCATGATAAATCACCAATGCTAGCGTTGTGAAGCTATGGTGAAATCTCATTGAGACTCGCTGAAAAGTCACACCCTGGCCCTGGCTGAACAAGATAACAAAACAATTTGCTGATGTCAATTGAACTGAAGTTGCAAATGGTTCTATCTTTAGTGTCACTATCATTTTCAGTGCCAGTACGGGTATGATAGTACAGGACTGCATTTCTATTTCATGGTCTTTTTCTTAAGAACCTTACCCTTTCCTTTGGCAACCTTACCCTTTCTCACAGGGTCCTTAGGAGCATCAGTGGCTGAACCATCAGTAGCCTTGGTGAGATTCTTGCAGACCTCTGCGATGCGAGCAGAGCCCTTGAACCCCGCTTTCTCAGCACCACTCCTTATATGGGAGGAGTCACACCATGGATTGCATTTTCACAGAAGGATCCAGGTAAAAAATCCATGACATTCAACTGATAAGATTTTAGCTTACAGCTGGGATATATGTCCAAGGGTCTTGGTCCATATCTGCTGGCCATTTGGTGACACGTAAAGCTTATACAACTGGCCAGCTGCTTTGCCACTGGTCCTTCTTCGAACTTCGACCACCCAGCCGTCCTGCAGGTTGTCAATGCGTCTCAGCACATCGAACTTCCTTAGTTATCCCACAACATGACCATTGAAGCACATTAGTTTAATGGAAAACAATTTAATTTACATCAGTTACCCATTTAATTGAGCTATGATTCGCTGACCCCGCTCTTGATTTCTTAGCTTCCCTTCTTCTGTTCACCATGTCTAGTTGTTCCTGTGGAGTAGGAAGTTTTCCTCCTATCTTTTGCAGAGCCAACTGCTGAACACGACTGATGGTGACCTGAAAACTGTTTTTGGCAAAGTCCTCAAAAGGCTCTCGATGCACAGTCGTCTTCAGTGTTGGTTTGTCGACCTCCATGCCATGCAGAGCTAGCAGGGGCCACCAAAAACTATATACAGTCATGGTTCGATACTAGTGTCAAATGATATCAAATTCAGATATTATGTTTCGGGAACTGGCTTTGCTGCTACTAGTGGCTACTAGGCACATGCCTTCCACTACTACTTGCACCCAACCAACGAAAGGATTGTCAAAAGACGTTTTCCACACTTAGAATAAAAGGCTTGGGGGCACCCCTACTTTGATACACCCCCAAATATACAATGGTCCGCCGATGTGATTGGAAAAACTTCACGTGGTGTGGCTGGCAGGCCTGCTTCCGCTCGTGGACTTCAGGAGCTGAGGCCGCAGAGGGAGCAGCAGTGAGAGTTGCCGTACCTGGGAGGGCAGGACAATGGAGTAGTGGCAATGGTTCGTCAACTTTTCTTGCCAAGACCATCCAAATACCATTTTGGAATTTTGAAGATTTTTGTTGATCGTTCACCCTTTTGTTGTGGGTATATTTGGGAGGTATATAAGATCGATAATATTGATATAGGGATAATACTATTGAAAATAAGTAAATAAATAACCAACATCCTCAAGGACTGACCCTCAGCACTTACCCCTTCCAGCTCTAGACCCAAGGGTTGGAGGAAACGAGCCTGGAGACTTCATTCGGATCCTTTTGGTTGGTGCTTCCTTGTGCATCTCTTTCTCCAACTTCGTCTCTAAATCCTCTTTGCTGCTTGGCTCCTCTTTCACCTCCTTCCTTTTCTTTTCTTCTTTCGCCTTCTGCCACACGTGCTCCCACCCAGTCTTCCAAATTTGTAAGCGTGAAACATTGCGATCATGTTTTGGCTCAACTGTGTTCAAAGCTTCTGATGCAGTTTGTTCTGGGTGTCGTCCATGGATATAGTCATACCAGTTTTCCATACGAACCGCATCAAGTGTTGCAAAAAAGCTGGCCTCACGAGCAGCGCGGCGAAGTGGATCTTCTTTTTTTGCTGCGTGTTCCTTGACCTCTTCGTCGCTTTCACTGGAGCTACTGCTGGAACTGGTACTGCTCGAGCTCCTGGAAGAAGCTTCTTCTTCACAGGTCTTCTGCTGATCCTTGCTGTTGACCTTCTCCTCTGCTTCTCCTTCCTCTTCAGTCTCCTTTGCACCTTTCGTGTCTTCTTTAACAGCCTCACTTTCTTTCTGACATGTCTTATCCTCCTCGTCTTCATCCTCATCCTCATCTTCGCTCTCGAGTTCTGCCTCCATCTTCTCATCTTCTGTGCCTGTTCCTTGAGGTTCCTCATCTTTGTTGGTCAGCTTCTTCTCTGCTTCTCCTTCCTCTTCAGTCTCCTCTGAGCTTTCCTCGTCTTCTTCAACTGCTTCACTTTCTTTCTGACATGTCTTTTCCTCCTCGTCTGCATCTTCATCCTCATCTTCATCTTCGCTCTCGTCTTCTGCGTTCATCTTCTCATCCTTCGTGCCTGTTCCTTGAGGCTCCTCATCTTTGTTGGTCAGCTTCTTCTCTGCTTCTCCTTCCTCTTCAGTCTCCTCTGCGCTTTCCTCGTCTTCTTCAACTGCTTCACTTTCTTTCTGACATGTCTTTTCCTCCTCGTCTGCATCCTCATCTTCATCTTCGCTCTCGTCTTCTGCCTTCATCTTCTCATCCTTCGTGCCTGTTCCTTGAGGCTCCTCATCTTTGTTGGTCAGCTTCTTCTCTGCTTCTCCTTCCTCTTCAGTCTCCTCTGCGCTTTCCTCGTCTTCTTCAACTGCTTCACTTTCTTTCTGACATGTCTTTTCCTCCTCGTCTGCATCCTCATCTTCATCTTCGCTCTCGTCTTCTG